ATGCATAGGATTCTCGAAGTATATTGTGCTTGGGCTTTGTCCAACCTAGCCGGGCAGACGCAGAGTACTTGTGGAGTAGATCGTGCTTGCGTGTCGTGCAACCTACCAAACCTTTTTGCATGCTACTGCTTGAAGTTCTAAAGGCTTGGGAGTACGGCAGAGTGCTGAAGTGCCTTGCATCTTGTTCTGTGTTTTAGAACAAGCATCGATGTCAGTCGTTTTTGCGTTCCGTCTTGAGGGGACAGCAACTAGACTCTGTACTTTGCTTCCGTGATGAAGGGATATAAAGGGGTAGAGGGAGTGCTCGCCTTTCCTGAAGTTCGAGCCACACCTGCCAGGGGCCAATGGCGAAATTGCCCGTGAGCTTCGCTGAGACCGTGGCAATGCGGCCCGAAGAGGCGATAAAGCAAGGCATGGCCTACTGGTTGGAGGAGCTCCAGGCTGGTGCTGGACTTGTAAAACCCTACAAGCCCAAGTGTCCCTTAAGCCCGAAGTTCAAGAAAGGCTCCATAGTATACAAAGCGACGATGCAGGGCTGCTCCTTCGAGCTGAAGCTCCCTGCAGATCACCCACCCACGGCGGTGGGCGCCATGGCCCCGGCAGGGCAGTGCGTGTCCGCGGTGCCCAGGACCGTGGCTGAGGCCGTTCGACAGCTCGCAGCGGAGATGAAGGCGACAGAGTTTGTGGTTCTCCTCGCGGCCTATGGAGTCTTGCTCTACAGGTACTGCCAACAGGATGACATCTTGATAGGGGTGCCTGTGTCGACAAGACAGACAGGAGAGGCATCATTAGTCGGGGACTTCGTCAACACGACTGCGATACGACTGGACTTTTCTGCAATGGAAGGTGGCACCTCTCCCGGAGGCCCTTGCATCAGGACGGTGCTTGAAGAGGTACAGGCAAGGCTGCTGGGGGCACTGGAACATTGCCATGTTCCCTGGCAGTTGCTGGTGAAGGAGCCATGGGGTGCCAAACCAGTTTATGGATCCGAAATGCCTGGTTGCATGTTTGCGCTGCCTTTGCTGCTGCCCCTTTGCTGCTGCCCCTTTGCTGCTGCCCCTTTGCTGCTGCCTTTGCTGCAGTGTCGATAGTGGCTAGGGCTGACCAAGCCTCAAGGTGGTTGAGTAAAAGAATCAATCCTGAGAGCTGGAACATGCTGGAACTGCTGCCGAGTGTGTAGGAACTTGCAATAACTTGCATCCATGTTCCCCGGCTTGTGAAGGAGCTTCGAAAGAGCAGGGAACTTCCGCAGCACCTCTCACCCGTTATCCAGACGATGTTCGACTACAGTGCAGCAGGGGACTTTGGCTTTCACCGGGCCTTTGGGAAAACCCCGGCCGGCTCTGAAGTGGAGGTCGCCCCTGGGGTCGTCTCGCGGCCGTGGACGGTGGGCCGGAAGTTGCGTCGGCAAGCGCCTCCCGCGAAGACCCTCGGCTGAGACTCACTTCTGGTCACCGGCCAGTTGGTGTAGTCTCTTCACAGTCCCTGATAGTCTCTTGACATCCCAGGTTTGAGCTCAGCCTGGACCTATTCGCCACGCGAGGGAAAGCTTACCGAGGTCAGTGTCAAGAAGAAAGGATCTCCTGCAAAATCCCTCCCACCGTGTCTGCCTGGGCCCCTTCTTCCCTGGCTCTGCATTCCTGGAATCCCCCTAAACCCTAAACCCTAAACCCTAAACCCTAAACCCTAAATCCTAAACCCTAAACCCTAAACCCTAAACCCTAAACCTAAACCCTAAACCCTAAACCCTAAACCCTAAACCCTAAACCCTAAACCCTAAACCCTAAACCCTAAACCCTAAACCCTAAACCCTAAACCCTAAACCCTAAGCCCTAAACCCTAAACCCCCTGAGAGGCCTCTGGGAGTTTCGAGCCGACCTCTTCGACGCTCCGACGGTGCAGCGGCTGGCAGCGCACTGGACCAGGCTGTTGGCGCTCTAGCTTGCCATGGCTGTTGCTGGGTTTTGCTCCCGCTTGCTACGGCTTTTGCTGGGTATTTCGGCCGTCTTTGACTGAAAATTTCTATCTCAGCCTGCTGGCAGCCGTTTTGTCAGAATCGTCGCCTCGCTGGGAGGTTGCTGCGGTCCTTGAGCACCTCCCCTGGCCCCGTGCGGGAGTTGACCTTCGAGACCTTTGGGGAGAGGCCCGGCACCCCCAAGAATTTCAAAAGGAGCTCCGTTCAAAGACATTAAAACATCAAGTTGGCGCGACCTTCTGCAAGCTGCAGCAGAGGTCCACGCGCTACCACGACTGGTCCATCTCCAGGTCCCCTGCCCTTCCAAGACTCTGCGTCCAGGAGCCTTATGCGGGGGGATTCTAAGATTAAAAAGAGGCCATCTACAAGAAACAACTCAGTGGAGTGATCAAGCTCAGGCCCTATTGGCCCTTATTAAGCCCCCAACCTGATCACCGCCCCCCTGGAGGACCTGATCATGCAGCAGGCCCCTGCAGCAGTTTTCAGTATGCTTCAGCATTGGGTTCCGGAAGGGTATGGTGGCGTCGTCGAACTCCGATGCTTGCTGATGTCTTGTGCCCGTATTCAGGCATTGCGCACTCCATGGAGCACTGCCATCGTCGTCCAGGCGCAAGCAGAGGCTATCTAGGAGATGCCAGGAGGAGTTGCAGTGCAGCAGGACGCCCGTCCCAGGCGTCATCGCGGCAGCGCCACATCTGCTTCGGCGAGCTGCGCCGCGCAGCTTTGGCGGTTGCGTCTGCGCTACGAAGCTGGGACGCACGTCATTCAGTTAGGAAAAAAACGTGTGTTTTGTGAGCGCCAAGCAGAGGCGAGGGCCTCCGCACGGTCGGCACCGAGACTAGGGCTCGTGTCGGCTTGTTTCTGGACAAGGCGACTCAGTGGTTGATGCTATTGCTTAGCAAGCTTCAGTGTTTCGATGTTATGGATTGCACGCTTCAGGGTGCGGAGTTCATCCCCGTGTTGCTGGGCACCTTGGTGCTGGGCTGCTCCTACGTGCCACTGTCCGTGGACTCCCGCCTGCAAGCCGAACAATGCCAAACAGACAGCCCAAAGCGGAAGGGCAAGAACAACCGTTTGAGGGTAGTGCTGTCACTGCACCGAGCATCCCAGGACCTCCCGCCACAGCGCTTGCGCTTCGTGGCCGCGGACGCGGCGCTCAGCCTGGTCCTCGCGTGTCCCGAGCCTTTGGGGATCCAAGCGGAGCTCTGTGGCTCGGCGAAGTCTCAGGCGCAGTCTCAGCCGTGAGTTCTCAGCCTGCGTTGTTGCCAGCGGTTGTCAAGGTGGCGTGCCTGTTTTGACGATTTCGGCGGAACAGGCGAGCTGCTTGTGTCTCCTGAAATGTTTTTTGGCAAGGTTTTCCGACAGCTTGACTGCGGCGCTGCTTCGATGTTGTCAGGTTTTCTCCAATGGCAGCGAACGAACGGCTAGCGAGGACATGCCGAGGCAGGTATCGATACTGGAGCGCAGGGTTGTGCGTGGGCTGCCTTTGGGGGCTTGGAAACTCTGCTTTCCACATGGGCCTGCTTCGCTTCTCAGCTGAAAATGCACCAGAAGTGCAACCCTACAGAACCAAAGCACAGTTGGTCCCCAGTTCGCCATGGACCCAACTTTGCAAGGCGTCCTGCAGATGGCCACACACTGACCATCAACATGCATGTATCGTGGATGGTGAGAGTTTTGCACACAGTCTCTGGCTAAGACCGGGGTTCCGATGTTTGTTGCGTTGGAAGCAGCAAAACTGCAGTAAAGCCGAGATCCCAAACCTTCAAACCCAAACCAGCCTGTGGCGTGTTTCGTGCTGTTGCCTGACTCGGCCCGGTCCATTTTTCTGACTCTGGCCTCTGTGATTTCGGACTCGGTGGACTTCCCGACTCAGCGGTCAGCCGCATGCAGACGATCCGAACACTCTTGCGGGATCTAAAGTTCCTAACAGTGATGCCAACAGTCCCCCTTTCGGCGAGTTCCGTGTACTAGTAGTAGCAGTCCTTAACAGGGACTCTAGTACCCCCCTAGTATTTCCCGGTTAAGGACTGTTAGTATAAGGGCCCTCGGTGGGCCATGCTGTCGCAGGCCATGCGCGCCATCTTCTGAGATGTATGTGCTCTACACGTCTGGCAGCACGGGCCGACCTAAAGGACCCCATTGTTTGGCCTTTGTAGGTTGCGGCCGGTTGGTTGAGTGACGAAGTTGATCAAGACTTTCCGTGCCCAGTTCTGCATTGGGCCACGCCTTCTGGCACTCTTCAGATTCACCGAGTTGCCATCAGGAGTTGCAGTCTCGCATGGCGCTGTGCTGAGCCACATCCTCTGCTGTTGCGACAAGCTCGCGGTGCAGCCCTTTGACCGCGTCCTGCAGTCAATCGTGCCTTGGACGTGTCAGTGTAAAAGCCGAGCGCTGTGGCCTGTCCACAAGAAAATTGTATAAAGTCTTCGTGGTCATGTGCGTAGACAGCACTGCGGTTCTCAGGCTTTCGTGTTCGACTTTGCTGTGAGCCAGTCCAGTGCTCAGCATAGCACAAGTCATCGGTACCTCAAGTTCAGCAGGATATTCTGCAAGATGATGGGCCACCGACTACTCAGGCTGTTCCCTAGCCTGGTCGTGGGTGGATCGCTTCTGCTACCACCAGAAGTTCTTTGTAAGGATCCACTGGCGCTGATGCGAGCCTCTGACAAGGCGATGACAGTGAGCTTTGCATCTGTGTTTCAGGCAGCCCCCTACTTTCTTACCTGCTTTGCTCAACGGCTGACATCCTCCGACCTGTCGACCTGCGACATCCGGAGTAGATGCATCAGCAAACCGGTGGGCCAACATACAAATCGATGAACCAGCCTGGAACAAAATAAGCTGCTGCAGGTGTACAGTGTCGCGTAAGACTCATGCTGTGTCGGCACTGGAAGGCATCTTCCACGAGCCTTGACATGGTGCCGACGCTCTTCTCCTTGGTCTTGGAGCTGAGTTGTGCAATCTAGCGTATGCGTAGTTTCTCGAAATGCTGGCAGGGGTGGAAAAGAAAGAAGCACACGCCATGTCTTCTCCACGTACGCGTGCCGCATGTTCGTTGCAGGAGACTGGCCTGCGATTGCCCGCCGTGCGCCGCATCAACCTGGGTGGTGAGCCTGTCAGTGTCAGGCGTGGGCAGAGCACAGAACCGCAGAAGTGTGCAACCCCTGCTGTCTTCTCTCAGTGCGACAGGCTTCTCCATCAAGCCCTGCAGAGCTTCACCAACGCACGGGTTCTTGTGACGTATGGCCCAACGGAAGCTGCCGTCGACTGCACGACGTGGTACGCAGAGAAGGACAGTCTCGGGAAAGTTCCGAGTGCCGTTCTTGGCTGGCCAGATGCTTTCCGGGCCATCGATGTTTGCGATCCACGCGACCCATGTGGCGGGGCAGTCCCGTTGGGTTGTACCGGTGAGCTCCGAATCTTTGGCCCTGGGCTCGCCAAAGGATATGTGGCTCGCGCAGAAGAGACCGGCAAAGCCTTCGTGAGCTGTCAGCGTGCTGCAGGTGCCCAGTACCGGACAGGAGATGCGGTGCGATGGGGCCGAATCTGCGGTCTCGAGTTTCTGGGGCGACTGGATGCTCAGGCAGGAGCCTGTTGGACTGATGCAATTGCACGAAGACATTTGCTTGCTTCATCTTGCTTCTTTAGTACTTTGGACTTCGGATGTGCTTGGACCAGCATGAGAGCCTTGTAGAGAGCCCATGAGCCTTGAAGCCTTGAAGGTCAAGGTCCGTGGCCACCGCGTGGAGTTGGAGGAGATCGAGTCGGTGCTGAGGAGGTGCCCGGGTGTTGCGGAGGCCGCCGTGGTCTCTGCCGTGGTCTCTACCGAAGTCTCCTCCACGGCCGATGAGGCGCGGGATGTTTGCGCGAGGTGCCGGGCCGACCCTTGAGCTAGCTGGTCTTTGCGAGTCTTTGCAAGGCCATGCTCGTGGCTTTCGTCAGCCCTCAGAAGGGGGCTCCAGCTCCTTCCGAGCTTCCGCAGACCTTTGCAGCCAAGTCGCTGCCCGATCACATGGTCCCTCGCCACGTCTTCTCGCGAGGCCTCGAGGAGCCCGTGACAAGGGTATCTCTCCGTGAATGCCAGGTGAGGTGGAGTGAGCCGGTTAGCTACACCAGGCATGAGTGAAGTTAGCGTATCTTGACACAAGGGACTGAAGGGACTGCAGCTAGACTGTCCTGTCTCAAGGGGTTTGTTGGCAGGATACGGGAAGATGCATGTGAGACCCATAAAAACCACGAACTAAATGCGGTGGTTGGAGCGTGACGAAAGCAATCGTGGAATGTGAGGACTGGCCTCGCAGCCCCACGGGAAAGCTGGACCGTCCGCGCCTGGCGCGCGAGGCCCAGGACCTCCTCGCCCTGGAGGCACGCAGACGAGAGGACATGACTGGCTTGCGAATGCTTGCGACATTCTTGTGCCTGCATGATCTTGGTATCTGCTTGGCGTGTGACAGGTGCAGAATGGGCTGGAGGATGATCTGAACCTGCCTCCAGATCTTCGCACAGCTGGCGCGGAGTGCTTCCTACATCTGCTTCGCAAGACCCTTCGACTTCAGCAGATTGAGCTTTCAAAGCCATTTACGCGGCTGGGCGGCGACTCCATTTCGGCCATCCGAATCTCAGCAGGGCTACGCGAGCATGGCTATGATTTGTCACCTGCAAGGCTGCTGACTGCTCCCTCTGCTGCAGCCTTAGCGAGGAGCATTGAGGCATCCCAGTCCACTTGTGACCGCGGTGGCACATCCGCAAAGATCGAAGGGGAAGTGCCATTGAGCTTGATGCAGACTCGCTTCTTTGGCTTGGGTCTTCGAAATCCGCATCACTACAACCAGTCCCTGATGCTCATGCCGTGCTCCGAAGCAAAGCATCTTGATGCAGAGAGCCTCCGGCGATGCTTAGTGCGTCTTGCAGAACACCACGACCTGCTGCGCGCCAGCTCCCTGGCTCAATCTGGTCTTGACGCCTCCCTTGACCACAATTCTGTCCTAAGCCCTGCCAAGCCCAGGTTTCCAGCTGACCGACCATTCGCGGACTTCACAGAACATTCGGCCGCAAGCGCAGGCTGCGAAAGCTGTCTCAGCAATAGCGCAGACGGCCAGGCAAGACGGGGGAGAGAAACCTTAACAGCATCGTCACGCAGATTCGTGCAGCGGCAGGAGCAGCATGAACTTTTGAGGCACGGAGCGGAGGGGCGTTTGTTGCGACGTTGTGCTTTGGTCAGGCCAGAGGAGTTGGGAGACATTTGCGATCGCTTGCAGCAGTCTCTGGAGCTGAACGAGGGCCCGATCATGGCCGGAGCTGTTGTGCACATGAGCCAGAGCAGGTGGGATCAGTGTAGATTGTAGATGGTGTTTGGGCATTAGAGAGAGAGAGAGAGAGAGAGAGAGAGAGAGAGAGAGAGAGAGAGAGAGAGAGAGAGAGAGAGAGAGAGAGAGAGAGAGAGGATGAAGTCTCACTAATAACAACGGATTCGGGCGCGCTTCGTGCGCGGGGGGGGGCTCTTTCGGGGGTTCCCTTCATGCCCAGCAGAAGAAGAAGAAGAGAGAGAGAGAGAGAGGGAAGATAACGCGACAGCTGTCAACTTGTCAACGTTCGAGCCCTGCAGGGACGCGAAGTCCGAGCAAGACTGGGAAGCGAGAATTCTTCTTGTCATCCACCACTTGGTTGTGGACCTGGTTTCATGGCAGGTTATTGTGGCGGACATGGAGTTGCTTGGGCTCAAACGGCCACGCTTTTGCGGGTTCGGTTCAAACGCTTCTTCGGCAACAAACTTCAAATCCTTGAGATACAAAAAGACACTTGTGATCGTTTGTCTTTCCAGTGCATAGCAAAGTTCCGTATTAAGTCATGTGCAAGGCAGCTGCTGCTACACGAGCTGGGTCTCGTCCCAGAGTCGCAGCTGTCTGTGGTGACCCGGTCCTTCCATGAGCCGCTCGCGCGTTAATAGCTTGGGTCGCACTGAGCGCAGGCATTCAACACAGCACAAGCTCAGGTCCTTGCAGAGCCCAACTCAAAACCAACATTTTCTCTTAGGCTCGGAGGCCCTCGCAACACGTCAGACTGAGAAACATAAAGCATATGCCTTTCTATATCAGGCACAGCGTGGACTCCCAGGCATTTTGTTGAATCCGGCACCACAGGCGCAGAATCTCCACACCATTCTTAAGTTAATCGCCCTCCTTCCATCACAAGGAGGGCAGGGGATGTCGACCGGCAAGAGCAGAAGAAATGAGGAAGCGGGACCAGATTGCTGATGACTCGGAGCCAGGACGGTGAACGAAGGAGTGCTCCGTGGAGAGGAGGTTTGGCTTTTGGCCAATGCCCGATCTGCTCCTTCTCGCAGAGGAGTGGTCAACAGCCACCATAGAAAGAAATACGCTTGCTGCAACGCATTTGTATAACTCAACAGTTTTTTTGAGATGTGTCTTACGTTTCAGTTGGTGAAGAAGATGGAAATGAAAATGTCAAAGATAGAAGCTGAGCCTTTGAAGGGCCCATCACACGAATCTCCTCTACGCACTGCTGCCCAACTCCGTTCGGCCATGATTGATCCTGCTCTGGGGCACAAACTACCTTGGCGGGCATCGCAGAGAAGCAACGTAGGCATCAACAGCACAGAGATAATGCTGAAACGCACATGGAGTAGCAAACTCTGAGTGCGCACGCTCTTCTTCCCCAGTGCGGGAATGCTGCGCTCAACCAAAGACACTATAATTTACAGAGTCTGTAACTTGCAAATTCGAGGAATCGTCACGCACCGAGCTGGCACCCTTGCCGATCACCGCCACATCGTACGAAGCCATCACGCGCAGTAGGAGGATCCACAACATGCACGCGCAAAGAATCCGCTCTTACGCGAGGGCAGCCCCGCCAAAATTGACACGTGGGGTTATTTGGTCCTGTAAATATATTCTGTCTGTGTTTTGCGAAGCGCCAATATGTCGTGGGCTTGTAGCTGTTGACATCCGTCGTGGTCACTGAGCCGACCTCATGTGCCTCAGCAGACATGTCCGTGTCAACATGGTTGCCGCATGCGCCCGGTGTCGTTTTGCTGATCTGCAAGGTATGCTAGCCAGTCGGTGTCAAGCAATCCGCAGGCTGAGCCTTTCGAAAGGATCTTGCCTCGCGTGGCTGCTGTGCACCATATGCAGCTGATGGCCAGGCTTCACGAAAGCCGGCGGTGGACTGGGCTGCGGCTTTGGCAAAGGCCAGACAAGAGGAACCGCCCGTCAGTACATGTGTATATGTTGCCTTGACAAGAGGACGCTGACCTCGCTGGGAACTCCTGGGCCACAGCCAAGCGAGAGGTGCGAATGGTGCGATCGAATTGAACGAAATGTATGGGAGAGTTTAATTTTGGGCTTCGCGGAGGTACGCAGCCTGGATTGCGTGGACACGGCACTGCTCCTCTCTTGTGGGGAGATTCGGCCCTTCGAAGTGCTGCTGGCTGCCTTGGCCAAGGCACGCCTGCACGTTGCACGGGCATTTGAGCAAAAATGAACGCGTGTTTTGCCACAAGGCCTTCGGGTCGCTGGCGCGTGCCATTGGTGCCCAAGTGCAAGGGCTTTGGGTGGAGGTGGAGGGCCATGGCCGTGGTTCGGAGCATGGAGATTTCGCCAACACGGTCGGCTGGTTTACCGAGTTGCTGCCGGTCTGTCTGGAGGTCGTTCACATGCGCTGGTGTGCACTGATGCATGTACCCTGCGTCCTGCGTCCGTTACCCGGGCGTCACCTGTGGCCTGTCGCGCAGGTGTCCGAGTCGATTCCAGACACTCTTCTCGAGAGCATGGAGCGGTGCAGAAGCACGTCGGCAAGTCGCAAGCAGGACGTGCAGCCGACAATTTGCTTCAACTACTACGGTCAGGCCTGTGAGATGCCGCGGTATGTAGATCTGGCAAGCTTATGCAAACCTGGCGTTTCTCATGCGTCTTGCAGGCAAGCCATGCTGGCACCGACTTGCAGATCTTCAGTCTGGCTCCAGAGTGGAGGACGTTGGCCCTGAAAGATATGGCGGAAGAGAACCAGCGCGAGTATCTTCTGGAAATCGAGGCGTCGGGTGTGATGGTTGAGTCGGTTTGAACACTGGGTGGAGTGGAGCTGGCAGCACTTGACAAAGGTAAGCTTGCAGCGCAAAAGATGCACAGGCCATGCTGGTGAATGGCGCCAGCGGCAGAACCCTGGAAATCGAGTGGGTGTATCATCCACACTTTGATGACGAGCGGCTTGGGCTGATGAGAGTCATAAGATGCAGGGAGTGTGACAGGTGGCACGGTGGCATGCGCGATGCCACAGGCTTCTCGGCCGATGGTTCGACGACTACCTGCGCCAGATTCCAGTGATATGTGCATCGGCAAGGACGCTGGCTTCTGGAAGGACACGGCTGGTGCTTTGTGCAGGGAATTGTGTGTCCAACTCAGTGAGACTGCCCTCAAGACCAAACAAGCCTTCAGGCCCCCTCTGCCGAGCGACTACCCGCTGCTAGACTCCCGGCTCAGTGCCGCAGCGCTGGGCACGTGGCTCGCGGCGCTCGAGGTGCTCAAGGCACAGAGCGGAACGAGGCGCGCGAAACGAGGGCGAATCTGTGAATCTGCGAACGAATGCGAATGACTTTGGTGACCTCATTTGAAGTCTTTGAAGTGCTGTTGAGGTGTCGTGGGGTTTCTGTAGGCGCCTCGTTTTGGAAGACAGATGAAGAAAGGGCTCTGGGCTGAGCTTGCCCTTCTTTTTGGGAAGGGCATCTGAGTTTCTGAGTGTGAAGCCGACCGCTGGCCAGGAGCCTTGATGAGGTTGAGAACGTGTACCCTTGCACTCCGCTACAAGATGGGATGATGGCAGAAACGCTGTTGAACCCTCAGGCCAATGTGGAGCAGCCGCTGGCCTTCACAGCGGTAAAGCTTCTGATCATTCAACATAACGCTTCTAGGTATCTGGAGATGTCTGCTGCCAGAGCTGTCAAGGGAATTTGGTTGTGACGCGTATATCGTGGTGGAGCATCAGAGGCTCCCCTTGCTCCTTCGCGGTGTGGATGCGGCAGCCTGGCGGAGGGCCTGGCAGCAAGTCGCGTGCCGGCACGAGGCGCATTCTGACCTCGGATTAGGTAAGGTGGAGACATGCACACACACACACACACTCACATATTGACCTTTGGGCCCTCAACTCCTCGCTTGCTGCGGCCCTGGTTCGAAGAGGCCCTGCGCGCGACACTCGCCGCGCAGCTTGGGGCGGAGGGTCCTCGCTTCTGGCAGGCACACGGCACCCAGAACTTGGGCGCAGGCGGTTATCATCTGAGAGGGTTGTAGAGGCCTTATAGCTACCATTGCAGGTGGTCCTCAAGGCCAACTCAGCAGCGGGATTGACGCATTGGGAGGAGCCTGTTTGGGCGTTTGTGCCAGGCTAAGGATTCCTTCCCAGAACGTGCATCCATGGCTTCATCAAATGCTGTTAATGGTCAGGAGGGTGTATGGGACCTGACGGACATGGATCTGCCAACAGACAGGCAACTGTCACGTGAAGCAAACATGGAAGAAGTGCAGACGGCGCGCTTGGTGGATGGACAGGTCTGGCAACGATCCGCAGACATTGTCGCCGCTGCATGAGGATGAGGTCGGGTAGTGTCGGGTATGTCGAGTGCATTGACTGAACATGTTTTGCCGTAGTTGACTGCTCTGGGCCTTTTGGACGCTCTCACTGTTGTCTCCTGTCCCAGAGGTGCCCAGGCTGCTTGGAGCCTGGGCTGCAGATTCGGGATGACTGGGACATTTGGCCACGCCAATGCCACGCCCTCGTCTCCCCCTTGGCCCTGTCCTTCCAGGCCTTCTCCATAGCTTTCTCCGCAACGATGCAGCGGCCGGCTTCCGTTGCGGCGGACGCCTTCTGCGTTTCGCTCTCTTCGAGGCTGGTCTCTGGGCTTGCTTGTGTTTGGCCTCGAGTTGGGGGATCTGGGCTACTGGCCGCTCCAACGTTCTCACGTTTGCACCAGTTGGCACACGCAGAGGTTCGGCGCGGCACAGAGCAGATCGAGGCTGGAAGAAGACACGGGCGGGGGGGGGGGGAAAGGACGGGAAGTACATATATGGGAGCTATGCGGAGGCTTCCAAGAGAATAGCATGCAGCATGCATTTTTCCCGGCACATTTGAGGACGGCCTTCATGTCTTCGTTCGCACTGAGCACCACGCCATTTCTGACGGCTGGTCGAACCCGCTGCTGCTCCAGGAGGCCCTGCACTTCTATGCAGGCGAGGGACCCGGGAACACAGCAGAAACACCAATTCCACGCAGCGGCAGCACGATCGCAAGAGGAAGTGCAAGCGGAGCCCCTCCAGGAGGCGGAGAGCTGGCACCGGCCGCACCCCTGGCCTCCTTTGCCGCCTTTGTGCAGAAGCGGAGCCAGGCTCGGTTGACTCAGTTGTATACACGCGCGCGCACACACACACACCTATTATATATATATATAATATAATATAATATAATATAATATAATATAATATAATATAATATGCATACATACATACCAAATGCATGGATGCGAATGGAAGTATTTAATGCATATGCATATGCGTTTGCAGATGTATGTATATATGTACGTATGTAGTTTGTCTGTATGTGTGTCTGTCTGTCTGTATGTGTGTATGTATGTATACAAACAGCATTGTATCGTTCTTTTGTTGCACGAAGGTCTCTGTTGCCAGGCAACTTGGCCGGCTCTTGGCCGCGCGATTGTTTTCGGGTTCCCGGACAGCCAAACAGCTGTTGCGGCACGGGCACTGTCAGCAAAGAATGATGATCGGAATACTCGGAATGACCGCAATAGGCATCTTCATGATAGCAGCACTAAGAATTATAATGATCATAAGGGAAGGACCATGATATTGAAAACAATAAGAATAGAATGGCTTCACTCGCCAAAGTGCTCGAAAGGTTTGCATGTTGCACGTCTGAACTTCAATTGCAAGCCATATGCACCGCCTGGTAGGGCAAGCAGCGACGAGAAGACATGCGACGATTCTGGAGGCAGCAGCTTTGTGACGCAGGCCGATCACTTGCACAGTTGATGATGGGGAGACGAAAGAACGAGAACAACACAGGGCGAGCCATTCCGCATTCTGCAGGTACAGTGGCAACACCGACAAGTGCCCTTGGCCCTCACCATGCTCCAGCTCACGACCCCCAGGACTTGGGGGGAAGATATATGGCTTCTGTAGATCGAAGCGGATGTTTAAAAAAGCCCTGGTTTGTAAGCACCCTCTGTAGCCTTACAGGAGCCGCCTCGGAGAGAGCTACTCCAGCTGCGGCGACAGCTGCATGGCTGGTCGCGGCGTGCCATCGAGGAGAGCCCGCGTTACCGATCTGAGGGCACTCAAATATCAGCGTCCTAGAACAAAGATTACTCTTGTGGTAAGTACCCCATTTTTGTAGGTACCCCGATGCTACCCATTTTTCACGAGTGTTGACCTAGCTTCGGCCACCTCTGAACTCGAAACTCTGGAGTCGAGCCTCGCGGCAACATGCGGCCATGTGCAGGTCTTCTCTGAAGGAGGTGCTACATCTGCTGCTGTGCTTCACAGCGTCTGGGCACTTCTACTGGTTCCGCGGCTCGCAATCTTGTTGTTCCATGTGGTGCCTCTTTCCGCAGGTCCCGGTGTGTGTGTGGGGGGTCTGCAGGCCCATCGGAAGATGGGTGATGTCTTCGGCGCAGTCCTTTCCGGCCGCGATGCCCCCGTGCCGGGTGTGGAAGGCAGACGGGCGACGTCCACCTTTGGATATAGTTTTTTTTTGGGGGGTTTAAAATGCGAAACTACGGGACCCATGAATAAAGTCCCCCAAATAGTAGGATTCCCTTATACTAGGGACCCCACTTAGGTCCCCCCCCCAAATTTCGGAACCCCCCCCCCCAAAAAAAACCCAAAAATTTGCAACGCGAACCCCACTGCGTTTTGGAGCTTTGGGGGAGGCATGGTGGGCCTCCTGATCTCCACGGTGCCCTTGCGCGCTCGCTTTGAGGCCACCCTGAGCTGCAGAGGTGGGGACCCTAAACCCTAAACCCTAAACCCTAAACCCTAAACCCTAAACCCTAAACCCTAAACCCTAAACCCTAAACCCTAAACCCTAAACCCTAAACCCTAAACCCTAAACCCTAAACCCTAAACCCTAAACTCCAGCTTTCAGGGTTTTGAGGGCTTGGTTGTATCGTTGTATCCCTTGGTGTCTGATCACCCTGAGTGCAATAATAAAAAAAAAGTGACGAGTTCCGGCAAAGCTTGGCCAGACTTCGCTCTGCAACTTCAGCGGTTGCTCTTGGAGGTGGCGGAGCACCAGTGCCTCAGTTGCGACCAAGACAGAGTCTATGTGAAAGGACCGCCAGACAGGTAAGAACAAACATGTATGGACGGTTTTGCTCCGCTCTTCCAGCCTTCAGCTCTGCTCACAAGCATGTTAGCATGCACCACAGTCAATTCTTCTTCATGTTAGAGACTTGATAGTCCCCAGGTACTGCAATCTTGCAGGGGCCTCAGAGCGAGAGCACTGCTTTTTTTCTGGGACCGCAGCAGCCTGTCGACGCAAAGGGATGAAGCCATAGCCGACTCAGGCTGATATCCGGGAATGGTGCAAGCTTCCCGGACGAGCGACTTGGTTGCACATCTTGGCAGATGTTCCAAGCTAGCATGATGGATCGCGGCGAAGTACAGTGAACCCTCGTAGTCGCAAGGACCTCTTCCAGACCACGCTGGTGTTCGAGAACTTCCCCTTGCCAGGTGACGAGAAGTCTTGGCTTGAGGTCGGAACTTGCAGAATCTGGCAAAGAGCTGCACTTTGTGTGGCATCAACAGCCTCCACGGGGTGTGCACGATGGCCAGGCGCTGCATCCTTTCGATGAGTCCATTCCCATCACCGGTGCCGTGCTGCCCATGGTCGCTGTGCTGGTGCCTGCAGGAGGCAGAAGCTGCTAAAGGGACTGAGAAAGATGATCGAGGAGTTAGCGGTTAGCTGTGGCAAGTGCTGTTGATATTCTCTCTCTCGCTCTCTCTCGCTCTCTCTCGCTCGGCTATTACCAATAGGAAGGTATACACCTCACATCACCTCATTGTGCTTCCTTCTGCGCATGTGTTTTGGGCAGGCGAGAGCATGCAGCTCACGTTGCGCTTCGATGCTACTTTGTACTCAAGGTCGGTGGCCATGATACTCAGCGGCAGTCACAGGGTCAAGGAGTCAAAGGTTTGAACCGTTGTCACCACGTTGTATGAAACCCTGTGCAAACACGGCGTGCCCTGTTCCTAAATAACCGTCCTCTCAAAGTTGTAATGGTCAGGGCAGGAATGTCCGGTCGGCAGGAATGTCCGGTCGGCAGGAATGTCCGGTCCCTGAAAGCTTGCGGCAGATAGACACAGTTGGATGATTCCGCGCTGGGATCAGGCGAGGCGGCGGCGTATTTTGAGGATCGATGTGCAGAATGTCACGACACTCAATATTTAACCAAGGGGTCAGATGAGAAGGAGCACCAAAAAACTGAGAATTGACCGGATGTTCTCATGGTCAACCTGCAAGATGCGACCGCTGGCTCAGCAGTGCGGGTTGCAGCTCCTTGTTCACGGTCTGCAAACGTCAAGCCGTCTTCGCTTCGAGCCTCTGAGGGAGCTTGCTGCGGAGTTTGACCTGATCCTGAAGTGCGTCCTCGAGAGGCAGAACTCCCATTTTCAGAGTCCCCTCGAACACAGCTGTGGCGCTGTGTCACAGTTAGGCCCGACCTGCCCTGCGGCGAGCTCCTTGCCGTGCTTCCAGCGCTGTCGGCAGGCGTGGTGGGCTCTTTGTGTGTTTTTTTGTGTTCTTTTCTCTCACACCATGGGCAGCGCACGCGCGCCGCACGCGCGTACTTGTTTTGCTTTGCTCCACGAGAGACAGAAGCGTATGCGAGGCCCCGAGCTGACCCTGCGTCCTTGCCGTCCTTGCCATCTTTGCCTCATTTCACGCAAAGGTTTGTAGGATTTCAAAGGATTTTACAGCTTGACAGTGGAACTGCCAAGCGTTGCCAGGTGCATGGATTTCTGCTTGGGCTTCTCTCCTGGCGTCTCAGGACTACACTGACAAGTCATCTGAAATCTGAAGTTCTTTAAGTCCCAGTTGCGCCTTTGCACTCACTTGAATTTACATTGAGGCCATGGTGTCCAGCCTACCATTCTGCCGCCCTGCCGAGGCATTTGAAGCACTGTGGAATGAGCGATGTTTTCAGCATGTGTAGCAATGTTTTGTGGGAGGCCCCATCGCCCTCCATGCTTTTTGCTGCCGCGGCCACAGAGAACTAGCAGCTAGATCAGTGAATTTCTGAGTTCTGCAGTCTTCTGGCAAGCTGTTGCCTCTTGCATTTCCCTCGCCTATCTCAAGGGTGTATTGTAGCGTGTCAAAATGACACTTAGGGCCTCGGGCCTCTCAAATGAAGCGTAAGCTTACTTCGCTGCCGTCAGATTTGACTCCCCGCCTGCTGCAAGGAGTGCCCTTAAGCATCTGCCTGAGTGGATGTGGGCAGCACTGGGCAGCTCCGCGCAGCTACACGGATGACTTCTATTCCACACGGCGCTTCTGCCAGAGAACAGAGAACTTCGATGTGTTCTTGAGGTCCGGGGCTCAGGGTGCAGGTGCTCAGGCGGTGTCTCTGCAGTTCTGCCGAGTTCCGGAGCATCGGCTTTTAAAGAGTGTGTGTTTGTGTCTGTCTGTTCTGAGTCACGATTGGGGGACATCGCGGTGGCTAAAGCTCTGCTCTCTGTTGATGATGTTCAATGTCCGTGCTGCCTCGACTCTCAGATTACATTCTCAGTCTCAAGTTCCCCAGCATTTCCCTGACATGCGAACTGTGTGGAAGATGTGTTCGCCTTGAAAGAACATAAGGACGGCGTGCATGGTCGTGAGCATCGCAGTGGGCATCCTCCGCGCCTACCGCATCATACCCGACGAGCGATGGACCGAGCTCTTCCCACTGGGCATCTTCTACATCCTGCTCTTCTTCTGGCAGCACCTGCGCGAGCTCTTCAAGAAGCCCCTGGTGGTCTTCCTTGATCGCCTGTGCATTGCCCAGAATGACGATCGGCTGAAGGAGCAGGGCATCCTAGGACTTGCAGGCCAGGGGGGGGGAAAAATTGGGTGGGGGTTTAAGAGGGGTTCAAAAAAGGGGCCTGTTTATGGGTGGGGCCTTTTGTGTGTGTGTGTGGGGGGGGGGAGGTTTAGGGCTCGGTACTTCACTCTGCGCTTCCTGCTTTTGGGGCTCAAGGGCCTGCAGCCTAAAACGTCTGAAACCGTCTAAAACCCAAGAAGCCACAAAAGCAACCCTAAGCCCAGAACCCACCCCACTGCAACTTCGGGTTCCCTGCAGGCTTCCTGGATCGCTCGAGCATGCTGGCGGTTTTGTGGTCACCGCGCTACTTCAAGAGCGCCGGGCCTTGCACGTTTCAGATTCGAAGCTGTTCCGGGGGCTTTCGGTCTGAGGATGCGAGGTGTTCGGTGGGGATGTTGAGTCGGGTTGTGGTGTGTTGAGGCTAGGGTGTCAGTTTTTTGGCGCTCAGCTGCTATGTAAGAGCCGTGCCTAGCCCTCTCAGCACCAAGACACGGGACTTTGGCTTCATTGTGGATGCTCCCTAGATATCTTGAAGGCATGTCACTGTTTCATCCAACTGTGCTAAAGTTGCTTGGTTCGCATCATGTGCAGCACACCCATTTCAGGCACTGGCCGAGTGAAGGGGTTTGCGCTTTGTGGAGTAGAGGCTCCTTGTGACTCATGATGTTTGTCGTAGAGGATCTTTCACAACAGCAACAAGTCATGCGATCTGGGATGGGTGCTTGCTCTCCAAGTCATCAGTTTTTTTTTGTTTCTTCCTTTGTTTCTTTTGCTTCTTTTGCTTCTCTAAGGAGCTTGGTGCGCCTATGAGCTTGGAACATTCTTGCGGGACCCCGGCAAGGAGAAGTTGGTCCGCGTCATGCCTGTCAAGCTTGCACCGACGCTCCTGGCGTTTTGCCTCACCTGGGAGGTGATACGATTTGCCCACAGTGCAGCCACTGAGTACGACGAGTCCGGGTCGCGTGAGTGGCTCATTGTCAGCGGGACGCTTCTCTTCGTCATCTTGTGTGGCTCACCTTTGTACATGTACATCGGGATGGGGCTGATTCGTGATGTGGCAGCAATTGGCGAGTCTTTATTTGCAAACTTGTAGTTCTCTACCTCTAGATCCTGGCGCTTGTTGAAGCCTGATGGGAGGTGATGATCTAGTGTTTCGGAAACGGTAGGGCAGAGTGAGCGAGTTGACAAGGCCAGAAGACACGTTTCAGAGGCTTCAGCGTTGCAGGCCTTCTGAACTTCCCGCCCCTGCACAAAGTGGGCACATGCTGCAAAATGCTTCCCTCATGCGGTGCACAGGACAGGGTGCAGGGACCCTCTGACGGTCTGAAGGCTTGCCGACGTCCAGACAAGACCTGGGGGCCCTTTCGGATCATGTGGGCATCGTACCGTCGGGGTCAGGTTGGTCGCGCTCGCGCTTTCCAGTGAGGGAGGCCAAAGAGGCACCCACACGGGAGAATCGGCAAAGATGTGAGCCCTCCAGTGAAGGCTTTGAAGAGTTTTGGTTCTGCGGCTTCCATGCTTGGCGTGATTCTGCCTCTTCAATGCACTTGCAAAGATGTCTTTGGGGGAGAGAGGGGGTGACAGCAAAGACAACCCAAGGTGATGTCCAGGCCCTGCCAGATCACCTGCGCAATTTCAAGATCCAGGCACCCATGGACTTGAGTATTTTGAGTGCCAAGCGTCTCTCTCTATGCCCCCAAAAGGGACCCCAAAGGCCCTCCCTCAACCCGAGGACGCCGAATGCTCCTGCTGCGCCAACAACCACCGCAACCCAAGTACCGGAGAAGAGCTTCCATGTGACAAGCAGTTAATTTTCCGGACGTTGAAGAAGTGGTACGGCACTCCAGACGACGACACGGAGGCTCACTTGGAAACCTTCAACGGGTTTGTGCGGAGTCGACTGCTCAGATCGCTTCTTGTGGGGGATCGTACTGTGCGAAAGTAGGTATCGCCCTACTTTAGCTGTTTGGCTTCGACCGTTGGTCGGGGCCGGAGTCTTCAAACCTATAAAGCATACGACCTCTGAGATCTTTGGGAGTTTTGCAGCATCTACCTTTGCGGTTCAACAAGGGCTTACAAAAGCCAGGCATGTGGAAAGATTTGAGTAAACACCCAAACCATCTTGAACCAAGTCAAACCAACCAAAAGCAGACTAGCAGACCCAAACGAACCGAGGCTGAAAAGTAATCAAAGCAACCCAAGCTGCAAACTGAACGACCAACATGAACCAGCTTACTGCTCGAAATCCAAGCTGGCAAACGATGCGCACTGTTTAAAGCGAGCTGCTCAAACCAACTTTTGTTTAAACCGCCGTATATGCCCGAAAAGTCAGAGTCCGCGATCCCGCACATGCCCAACATGCTAAGGTCGGCTTTCCCGTACAATCCGCCAAACCGTAGGGGGCTACACGCTGCCGCTGAAGCAGTACCTGTACATCGCCCTTGGCTCGAATGCGCCGCTGCTTGCGAACTACATGTCCAAGATGGGAACCCCACCTGCCGAGATCAGCTCAGATCTTGAACGTGTCATGTGGGCCTGCAGGTGGCTTATCAGGTGGATGAATGCCCCACTCCAGATGCTTTTCGGTATCTGGGTTAGTATAGCTTGCTGGAAGCTGGGTGTATACCTGATGCGATACTGCGGTCGAGTGGCCTTGTCACTCATCCTGCCATTTCTCATCTTGCCATGTGCGCTGGCAGTGGCGTGGTTGCCGATGCGGATCACTTTCGACCTGACTTCTCACGACAGCTTGCTGCCGTTGGTACCATTCCTGGCGCTACTCGCCATTACCCTGTGTCTTTTTTCAGCAGGAGCATCACCCAAGATGATCGCCCCTGACACAGCCTTCGATGAGATGCTCAGAGCCAGATCCGACAAATCCCAAAGCAGCCAAGCCAAAGAAGCCTGGGAGAAGAAGGACGCACAGGACTCGCCACAGCCCTCAATGGCGACATCATCCACAACCCAAGACACATCGAGCTCCTCCTAACTTGTTTTAACAAAGCCAAGCCTATCGGTTCCTCTCGCTTTTTTCACAAGTCGGGTGGCGCCGAGACTCTGCCAAGGAGCAGAGCGCTCTGCCTTGCCGACTTGGGAGGGGTTGCTGCAGGATGCCAGGGATCTCAGCCTCAAGGTTTTTTTGTGAAAATCTCGAGTCTCTAGATGTCTCTACCTGCCTCAGAGAGATCTTGTGACGATCTTTGCGGCTACCGGCTATGCCTGCTGGTCCCTGGTCCCCGAAATCCACTCCAAGAAGCCAAGTTGAGGACAAGGTTAGGGCAAGTGGCCTAGGATGATGCGGAAGCAAATGCTTGAGCCACAACTCGCCCCACGGAGTTTGAAGAGCAGGTCGAAGATCTGGTTCCTTCAGTTTGAATCCAACACTCCTTTGAGTTTGCATGTGCAGTGCCGACATTGCATGTTGCCCGTACGGCTCTTTCGCGCAGAAATAGGGAAGCATGAAGGGAGCGTTCTTCATAATATATATATATATACATATATATATATATAGATATATATATATACAAATAAAGATATATGTATATATATATATATATATATATGTATGTATATATATATATATATGATAGTTGCCGAGCAGGGTGTCCCTTCAGCAAGCGTCGCCTCCTTGCTTTCAAGACTGAGGCCATGTTGCGGTCGAGCCAGCCTGAGCGGAGCTGTTGAGCTGCAAAGAAGTTTCGCAAGAAGATGGGTTTAGGGTTTAGGGTTTAGGGTTTAGGGTTTAGGGTTTAGGGTTTAGGGTTTAGGGTTTAGGGGTTGTAAGCATCTGAAGCCACTACAACCAGAGAAAGTTAGAGGGCCAGGTTGGGCCTTTTCAGCCAGCTGCGTGCAACAATGTAACGAATTTCAGGCTTGTTGGCTTGGACGGGCTCACTCGGCCGGTGGCTTTGTCATCTAGCCCAGTGCCCGAAGGCAGCTCGGCAATCATCCAAACCTTCTCAAGTCCAAACTGTGCGAAGAAGGTTGTGCTTGGTGAAAGTCAGGTTTCTCTGCTGGTGTTCCCGCTGCCTCATGCGCCCCCTGTGCCACTTCACGCAGACCTCACAGGCCGAACCAGGTTCGGAATTGCATCGTTTTCAAGGATTTTTTTTTTACGGGAAGGAATCTTTCTTGAAAAGCTGCAGCATCTAAGCTACACATGTTTGTGCCCCAGCCTTGTTGCTGCTCCTGGCATGCTGAATCCGGTGATCCCTGCTTTGGAGCCGTCTGGCTTGATACATGCACATCCCACGCCAGCAGGGCAGCTGCGTCAAGCATGGACAGCTAAAGAATACATGAGTCCATTGTTAGGCGCCCAAAGTGTTCTTGGCCGAACTCTAACTTGCCCCAAAGAGGGATCGTTGTTGAAGCTTGGGCCTCGCTGCAGGCCTCAATGCTTCCGCCCTCAAAGACTCTGGGCCACCGCCCGAAGTGTTGGGGGCTCTGGCTGCGAGGTGGGGGCCAGTGGCATTCCAGGGGCGATGGTTGTCAGTACTGGGGCTTTCCTTCGCGTTTCGGAGCTCTCCGCAGGCTTGCCACCGTCTCTGCGGAAGGACCCGGCCGGCACATGATTGCGTTGCATCTTTGTGCAAAGAGCGACAAGCTGCTGAACGTCCAAGTGAGTTGTTGGCCTGCGGGTCGAGGAATCATGTGGGCCGCCGTCGGGGGGGAGGATATCTTGCAGCGCCTTGGCAAAAAAGCGACCCTAAACCCTAAACCCTGAACCCTAAACCCTATAACCCTAAACCCTAAACCCTAAACCCTAAACCCTAAACCCTAAACCCTAGACCGTAAACCCTCCACCCCCCCCGCCCCCCCGGCTTGTCTGAGCTCTGGAGAGGCGCCTGCAGGCCTTGCAGCTGCAGCCCTGCTTCTGCCTCGCCATTCCTGGAGCGCATGGAGCCATGGACACATGCCAACGAAGAATCTCACAGGGGGTGTTGCAGGGAGGGAGAGAAATTTCGGGGCTACTTTCGGCGACCTCTGACAGTCTGATTGTCGATTCAGGTCCATATGAGGGTGCATGTGCACAGCATGTAGATCTCAAGGTTTGGGGACTGCACGTCAATTCGGGCCCTGGGCCCGTCGTAAGTAGAGCGGCGGGTAGGATGAAGCATTCGTCACGCAGGGTTCGAGTGCATGGTGGTATGCGCCAAATCCCATCCCAGTCTGCGCCATGCAATTGCCTTGGCCACCCAGGCGGAGCTGTACTGCCGCCCCGGGCTGCTGGGTCTCGCTAAACTCTTCCGAGGGGTGGAGGAAGAAGGCGAGCCGCTTACGCTCCGCCTTCTTCCGTCTATCCCTGGCTGTGATGCTTTGAGAGGTCCAGAGGAGCACTTCCCGCCGCCCGTGGTGCAGCAGCTTCTGGTGAAGGCGACGAGGGCATGAAGGTTGCTCATGGACCTCGTTTTCGAGGTGTCTTTAGGCTCCATGGTTTCAGTTTGCGCTTTTGTTTTCGCAGCGCTGCAAGGGCTGGCAGCCCTCGTAGCTAACGCTTCGGACTTCATCGGCAGCCCAAAGTGAAGTGCTCAATCAAGGCGCCTATAGACTATAGAAGAAGGCGTGGTTCGCGTGTAGGTTGAGGAGGAGGAGGAGGGCGTTTTTGTCGTGATTCCCCCAAAATCAGCATGACAACGAGCTGGATGAAGATGCCAGGATGCTCGAGGTGAAGAGGCTCAAACTGAAAGCTCGTGCAGAGGAAAACACCAAAACGATGAGATCATCGACGCAGGAGAAGCCAAGTCGATGGAAAGGGCGGATCGTGTTCCTTATGGTGCTTATGGTGCTCGTTCATCCGCTCCCATCAGACGCCCAAGCGGTACAAAGCAGAACAGCTCAAACTTTGTCGATGGCGATGTGTCGACATGGGGGAGCACTGCTGTTAGGCAGTATATCATGCCCGAGTGCAAGAAACCGAAAAGATGGTGCAAGCCCTGAGACCAAGATGCTCGTTCCACAGTCCAACGTCCAACGTCAGCCTTGGAGATGCTGTCGGTGTGCAGCCGCACTTTCGTGAATTTTGAACGCTCTCTGTAATCAGAAATGGGTTGGGGGGTTGGGGGGTTGGGGATGAGAGGTTGAGGAGCTTCGCCTTGGGGGAGTTGAAGGGCTGAGAGGTTCCGCCTCGAAGCAATGAAGGGGGCCTGCGGATTAATCCGGACCACCCAAAGAGTGTACGACTGTAAACTGCGCGTGGGCAACTCCTGGGGTTGCTCCCTTCAAAAGTCGTCTGGGGCCTTGTTCCTTCAGCAAACTGAAAGGGGAATTTATGCAAAACTCGCCTCCGGAAAACTAGGCATCTGAGGCTGGAATGAGGGCCTAGGGGCTCCAGGATTCATGAGCCTTTTTCCTTTCCCGACCGAAGAACTCCGGATTGTCCGCGCAACCTTATCAATCAGGGAGTGGCACTGAATTAAGTTTTCAAACTACGCATAACAGCGGGTAGTGTTAACAAATCGGGAGCAACAGTACTTTTTGTCTCTCTTCTCGTTCGTTCCTTCGTTCATGTTTAAATATCTCTCTCTCTCTCGCTCTCTCTCTTTCTGTCGGTGCCGGTCAGTTGGGTATGGAACCATACTCGTAGCATGCTGATCTGAGCCATAGAGCGGATGAGGCCATTGAGTGGTTCTGAGGCATCCTCAGAGCTGCCCTTTCATGTGATTCCCCTGCAAGAGACCAGGGTTCTCTCTCTCTTGCGCGCGCGCGCGCCTTCTCGTTTTGAGCCAAAAAACCCGTTGAAGCTGTGCAGACTTCGCCAGGACTTCAATGACACCGCGCGGATGTACGAGGCAGACCTGGTGCACCAGCGCTTCTTGCGCGCCGTGGAGTCGGTGCCCGCTGGCCACCCTGCGCTGGCCTTTGACTTAGTGTGCGCGGCTCATGGATCATAGGGCTCGTGACCTGGGAGCCTCTCAGATTGGTGGGCGGCCAAGACCACCGAACATGAGCGTGAGGGTAGCTTGAGGTCTCCCATGATGGCGCGGGAGGGGGGCGCACCGTGACTAGCTACCAGGACTGTCGACCCAGTGTGTGGAAGGTTGCTTGCTTGCCGTTTGACGGCCTGTCCCACATGTGTGCGGTTTCCAAAGGAGCTTGCCGAGAAGGTGGCCCAGGTTGCGAAGTGGCTACAGCGGCGCGAAGCTTGCGGCGCTGTTGCTGTTTGGATGCCCCGATGCGAGATGGCCGGGCCAGTTCTGATACGTGATGACCATGTGATACGCGTTCGACGCGATGCGTCATCCATCTTCATCCCCAGACTCTTCCAGCTTCGCTGTAGTCACTTGCTTTACCTTGCTTTCTGTGACATTTTGCAATCGCGCACTTGGCAGGTGGTGGTGTCTGCTCTCGCGATTCTCACCATCGGTGGTGTGTATGTCCCTTGCGACGATCGCCTGCCATGGCCACGCGTCCAATGCATGGCAGAAGATGCGGGGGTGACTCTGATTCTTGCAGGACATGATGATAGCATGTGACGAAGTCGCCTTAGCTTCAAGCTTGCAGACCTGCCGGGAGGATCATCTCAGCTGCAGCTGATCCCACCTTCAACAATCGCAGCCGTTGACGCATCTTTGCTTCCGGACTCTTGTCTTTGAACCAAGCGAAGAATTTGCTTGTGTCTTCGACCTTGGCTCTTCACTTGTCCTTTCTGCGGGCATCATATTGGTTCTTAGTCAAGTTGATTGGCTGTGTCCAGGAACAGGAGACGGCCCGGAATGTGACAGACAAGGACGTGCAATTGCCGTCGGCCGACTCAAATGACCTTGCCTATGTGATCTTCACCTCCGGATCAACAGGCCATGTGTGGTACCATGATCCATCGCAGAGATCAGGGGGAATAAGCTTGGCCCTGCCAGGCAAACCGAAAGGCGTCGCTGTAACACACCGCTCCATTGTACACTTGGTCGACTGGGTGCCCCTTGACAGCAGTCCTAGGCTGGTCTGAATAGGTCGGGTTGATTGTATTGTAAGAATGTTCGAGTGACATTGACACGCGCAGGAACACCACTTTCAACGTCACGCACGAGGATGCGCTGCTCTTCACGACATCAATCGGCTTCGACCTCTCGTGTTACGACATTTTTGGATCCTTGGCGGCGGGGAGTACAATCCACGTGGTGCCTTCTACCCCGGCTCCTTCTTCGGAGCAGCTGTTCCAGCTTCTGACAGCTGGCATCACTTTTTGGGACTCCGCCCCCCAGGTCTTACAGCAGCTGGAGCCCAATCTCCAGCGATGGCATGCGGCAGGCCACAAGCTGAGTGACCTGCGCCTGGTCTTCCTCAGTGGGGACTGGGTACCCATTTCTCTGGTGCAAACCTTACAGCAGGTCGGGGCACAGCAGGTGGTGGCTCTTGGAGGTGCCACAGAAGTTACGGTTTGGTCCAACTACTTTGAAGTGGAGTCCGTTGATCCAGACTGGACATCCATCCCATATGGCCGCCCCATCTGGAATCATCAATACTATTGCCTAGGGCAACAAGCTGGGGCCTTGCGGCCCTTGCATATCGGCATGACCGGCGAGCTTTACATAGGTGGTGTTGGAGTGGCCCAGGGTTACATAGGCAGGCCTGACTTAACCTCCGAACGATTTCTACCCAACACCTTCCACAGCGGGCGGATGTATCGGACAGGCGACATGGTCCGCTTCATGCCGCTGAAACCATGGGGAGACATCGGCAAGATTGCTGACCTGTCTCGGCTCACTGCTTCCAACGTCGTGTTGGAGTTCCTGGGCCGCATCGACTCGCAAGTGAAAGTCCGTGGCTACCGCGTGGAATTGGCAGAGATTGAGCTCGCCCTCCTGAAGCAGCCGGGCATCGAGGCAGGCAGCGTCCTGGCGCTGCCCTCCTCCGGTGGAAGTCATCTTGTGGCATTTGTCGTTGCAGAAGAAGGTGCTGCCGAGACAGCTCGCAAGGGTCTCGGTCTGTCCCTTCCGGCCTACATGGTGCCAGACGTTTGCCTCAGCCTCCCCGCGCTGCCACTCACCAGCAGCGGAAAGGTGGACCGTGCCAAGCTCCAATCCCTTTGGGAGGCCTTCCGCACGAAAGGCAGGGAAGGCACCGCGGAATTCTCAGGAGGCAGCGCCTTGGAGCAGGAGGTGGTGCTGGCTTTCCAGGAGGTCCTCGGCCAACCCGTGCCCGACTCAGTTCCGCAACCAAAATGCCGCAAGTGCTGCACCCCATGATGCCTGACATTGTCTCTTGTAACGTTTTCTCCACCAGGTAGGCGTGGATGACGACTTCTTCGACCTTGGCGGCCACTCCCTATCGGCCATGAGGTTGCAGGCGGCGCTGAAGGCTCTGAAGCCCAAGGTCGAAATCACTCTGACGGACGTCCTCCGAGCACGTACTCCCAAGCGCGTGGCCCAACTCCTCGAAACGATGAAGGACAAGACAATGCCCGCACCGGTGCCATGCCAAGCGCTCTTCGTTGTGGTCTATGATGCTTCTTACAAGTGAGTCATCGCAAAGAGCCATGGCAACCAGTCATCGTCTCATTGTACATACATTGTCATGTTTGGAGTGCCCGAGGTGTCGGTACCCCGGCTGCAACACTGCACCGAGCGCTCCCCCGCCTCCTTTGCACAGGCTACGAGCGGTAGCTGCCGGCACTTGCATGTACACTGGGCTGCAGAGTTCTTGGCGCAGGAGAGGCTGTGGTTGGTCGACCAACTCTCGCCCGGAAGCCTCGAAGCTGCACAGAGGATACTTGACGCTTCCGCAAACTTTGGGGGTCAATTCTGAGGTGCTGCCTACAACGTGCCCTTTGCTTTCCACCTGTCAGCCTCGGCCCTGCACCCTCGCCCTCTCACTTGCGGAAACCTACTGACTTCGCTGGAGGCACGGAAAGAGGGATTGCAGGAGAGGGACATCTGGGGAGAGAAAGGGGATGCTGGTCCTTGCCATCATGAGGCCTTGGTGGAGAAGCATTCCGCACTGCGCACCACCTTCCTTCAAGGCAGGGACTGCCTTGTAAGCCTTGTTTAAGCCCTTTCAGCCTGAAGAATCGCATCTATACGGAGCATTATGGTCTATTCTGATGACACTCGTAACACGATGTGGGGAGGCGAGGAAGACAGCGCAACGCCGCTGTTTCAGCGGATTCGCGCCGCGGAAGCTGTCTCTTTGCCGGATGCAGTATCCACTGCGGCCTGCTTGTCCCTTGGACTCTGCATTCTGGCTGTAGGTAGCTCGTGGTGCTGTAGCTCACACCGAGCTTCTACACGCATCTGGGCATGTGGCTCAGGTGCAGCTGGCTCTGGCTGCACCCACCTTCCAGCAAGAGCTGGCCAGAAGCTGCGCAGGGCGCTGCCGAGAGGATGCGCCGTGATTCCAGCAAAGGTAGGCTGCATCGAATGATCAAGCGATGGTGGTTTCATTCGCCTTTGGTTTGCCTTCTTAATGGTTTTGTCGTTGTTGCTTTCTTCCCCCCTTTTGGCTTGAGAGGCTTTCAACTTGACCGCGGCCTTCTGCGAGTTCATGTCTTCTGCATGCCCGAGCTGGAAGGCAACTCCAGCTTCCTGGTGCACCCGAGCTCAAGACTTAAAGACCTTTTTCAATCAATGATTCTCAGTGGTTTTCCTGGTTCGGGCGGAATATGTCAGATATATAGATATATCACCTACCCGCCTCTGCTGGCATTGCAAGGTACTTCAACGTGCATCACGCTGCATTTGATGCGGTGTCTCAGGTGGGATTCGTGAGAACATGGATGCAGGAGTGTGCAGTTGTCCTTCAGCAGCCCGAAGCACCTCAATACTCGTACAGTCAGCGGCTCATATTGTGCAGGTCCTTTTGGAAAAGGAGTTACTCGCGCTTCTCATCTCAGACTCGCCCTGTGCCCCACCTTCGCTGTGCCTTCGACGAGCAATACGGAAGTATGGCCAGTCTCAGCTTCGCGAGGTCCTTCGTGGGAGTTGCCCTGCTGTACCCCTTTGTCCCCATTTTAGGGTTCCTCGTGTGTGCAAGGCAATATCGAGACTATGCCGTCTGGCAGCGTGATTTCCTGGCTGCTGGGGAGGAGCAGCGGTGCCTGGAAATCTGGGCTGCAGAGCTCGCAGGACGGAGATGAAAAACACGGTCAACAGGATGTGTCAAGGGACCTTCGTGCGAGGTGTTACCCTCAGCCTCCCGCTCGACCGACCTCCTGAAGGCCCCTGCTCAGCTGGCCAGCTGGCCTTTGCCTCAGCTGGAGAAGGACTCAACAGGATCGCAGAGCAGAGAATATGTAAAACAAACATGAAATAGCAATTCTATTCTTTGTAGAATGAAAATAGAAGAATACATGAACGTAGCAATGTACGAATATTGTCTGCTACCCTTTTGCTTCCTCTTTGCTGGTCCTTTCGAGGTCTCCGAGTGGCCTTCGGACAGCTTTACACCTTTGCGCCGCGCCGCAGCGGCGCTGGGCGCCTCCGAAATGGCCCTCCTGCCCGGTGCCCCAAGCATGACGCCGCGGTGGGTTCAGTTTTGGCACTCAATTCTTGGGTCTTGAAGCAACCATGCCTCATGTTCCAGGATGTTCCAGGAGAAAGGTAAAAAGAACCTTCAAGGTGAGTCTTGGGTGAATATGCTTACAAATGATTTGTAAAATCTCGCGATATACCCTTAGAAGCCCTTATAAACCCTTCAGAAGCCCTTACAAGCCCTTTGTTAAACCCTTCTAAGCCAACGTACTCCGTTTTTTGCTCCAGAGGCTCTCGCTCTTCGGCCTCGCGCTTGGACGCCGTTGCGGCCAGGACCCCCTACTTGAAGGTTCATGGTTTAGGGTTTAGGGTTTAGTTTTTTTCTATTTATTTTATTTTTATAAGCCACCGGATTTTTTTCTTATAAGCCTACGGATAAGTCACCATGAAACTCCAAGCATGAGGGGGAGAAATGGAAGAGACTTCTAAGTTTTTTTCACAGAGCTCCAAAGCGAGGAGGAGCTCCTTGTGGGCATTCCGGAGGCTGGCCGGAGCCAGGCAGCGGATCTTCACAACATCGTGGGCTTCTTCGTGCGCCTCGGATTTTGCGAGTCATATTACCCTAAGCTGCCTGCTGCTAATGGATTTGAATCCTAGTTGTGTCCTATATGATAGCATACAGGTTTGTAATATCTATATTTTTGGATAATAATCGATATACATATTTTTGAATCATTGTACTGATCTCTTCATCATGCGAGCTGCTGCCAGCTTCGCATTCTACCAAGGAACACGTTGCCCATCCGCATTCAACTTCACGGGGAGGCGCCTGTGCATGGGCAGCAATCGTGTTTTTTTGGTCCGATGGTCGTTCTGGCTTTCTCAAGTATAGGCAAAGCAAAGCAACACCTTCGGCAACCTTGTCCAGAGGACGGTACCATTGAAGTTTCAGACGAAGTTTCTGTGACTATTGAGCTACTCCAGGACTCAGAACCGATTGCTTGTTGCCTTGGACGCGGCCGCGCTTCCTTTTCAGAGCATCGTTGCCGAGCTCCGAAAAACGCGCGGAGAGGACCACCTGCATAGATATCTGTGGCAGATGCTGCTCTGCATGGTCTGTGCCCTGCATTTCCTGCTAGGAGCTAGATGGCCGGAGTCCAATCGTCTGCGCCCTGCATTTCCTGCTAGGAGCTAGATGGCCAGAGTCCAATCGTCCAAGCCTTCTTCCAGCACGTTGTTGCAGGCCAGCTGGTTGGGGTGCTGTAGAGCAACAGCCTCAAGTGATTCAGGTTTTCAGATACACTAGCAAATGCTAGCAAGAGAGCCTCTCTCCCAAGTATCAGTAGTACTGCAACACATGTAACGTAGTCTTGAAACACGGTTGAAGAAAGGCAAGCTGAGACTTTTGGGAGCAGCTGGAGGGCAGCTTAGGAGCGTTTTATGTAGCGAGCAGCTCAAGACCATGCGAAGGTCAGTTTTCGGATGACTCGAGGAAGGACGCCGGGAAAAGGGGCCTTCATGTCGAGGACTTCGATTTTGGTCCAACTCCAGCAACGGCCAAGTTCGAAATCAGCCTTCAGACATCAGCTTTGGGGAACGGCTGCTGTGCTGTTCGCTGGGAGTTCATGAAGGAGGCGCTGTCAACCGATGCCGTCCAAGTGCTGGATCGCCATTTGGCTGCAATGGCTCGGCGCCTTGCTCTGTCAGAGCAAGCGCAGAGCTGCCGACTAACGGATCTTGCTATGGCCCCGCATGATGAACGACAGGCCGTGTTGCACAGCTGGGCTTCAAGCCAGGCACCCCCTCTCCCGGACCGCCTCCGCTTGGAGGGACTCTTCCTGCAACAGGCGCAGCGCACTCCGAGGCAGACGGCGCTCTTGATGCACGGCGACGACGGCGACGGCGATGGCGCCGAGGGCACAAGTCTGTCTTACGAAGCTCTGGCCCAGGCCGCTCGTGGAATAGCAAGAGAGCTGAGTGCAGCTCTGGTTTCCCGTGCCACTTCTGGCAATCCGAAACTTCGGAACGTGGTGGCCGTTCTGGCAGCTCGCTGTAAGGAGCTCCCGATTGCTCTGCTGGGCATTTTGTTGGTGGGTGCTTCCTTTTTGCCACTGGCACCCGAGAATCCCCTGGAGCGGCTGTGCTTCATGGTGGATGAGGCAGGTGCTGTGGGTCTGGTGGCCACGGCTTCTGTGGCGGAGATTGGGCGTGTGATAGTGAGCCGTACGGGAAGTGCTGGCCATAGCGACCGTGGCGGCCTTCCGCTCGTCTTCCTCGAAGTTCCGGACATGTCTTTGACTCCAGAGCCACATGTGGACCGTCTGTCTACGCCCGTTCCCCAATCCGCTCCAGTCACAGGACGATCACAGGCAGCTTCGCAAGCAGCCTATGTGCTGTTCACATCTGGCTCGACCGGGCAACCAAAGGGCGTGGTGCTCTCGCACAAGGCGCTCCTCTCACACCTCTTGCCCTACATACGCACTCTTGGGCTGAAGGTGTCAGACCGAGTACTGCTTACCAGCTCTTTCTCCTTCGACATGGCGTATTCGCAGCTTTTTGGCGCACTGCTCAGTGGGGCCACATTGATCCTCACACAAGACAACCCCATGGTGGATCCATCCGAACTTTGGGCGATCATGAGACAGAAGTCTGTGACTTTCACAACGCTGGTCCCATCTGTGCTTTCAGCCATGGTTCATCTCACCACGGAGACTTTGGAACTTCCAAGTACGAGGCACTTGGGCTGTGGCGGTGAACCGCTTGCCTCTGCTGCAGCTGATTTCTACAAGCGGGCGCCGGCGTCGAGACTCATGCTGCACAATCGCTACGGCCCAACAGAGTGTGCCATCAATGCTTTGATGTTTGGGCCTACGCTACTGCACAAGATTGCCAGTGAGGATGTGCCGATCGGTTGGGCCTCAGCCCATCGGCATGTCCATCTCAAGACGAAGAAAGAAGCAGATGGATGTGACGAATGTGAGGCACCTGAGCAAGATCTGTTAACACTTGGGTTAGGCGGAGAGCTCTTGCTGGCAGGTCCTGGTGTGTCCTTGGGGTACGTGGCAAGACCCGAGCTGACAGAGCATGCTTTCAGGGAGTCTTCTCGGGGCGCGGGGAGGAACTACCTCACTGGAGATCTGGTGGTGCGAACGCGCTCCAGACGTGGCTTTCGTGGCTGCCTGCGGTGTCTTGGTTTCACTGGACTGAGTGTTACAGTTTCTTCATGTCATCCAGGGGCCTACAGAAAATGCGGGCAGATAGACAAGCACAGTGGTTGGCCGCTTGAACGTGGAACATATCGAATAGAAGTTCTTAGACTTTTCCAGTAGCTCTGACTGTGCAAGCAGCTTGGTTCTGCAACTTCATACTGCTAGCTCCTCGATTAATACTTTCAAGAATGAAGCGCGCATGAGCTGCATGTCGCAGGATTACAAACTTCGACGCAGCATGTTTATGAAACTTCATGAAGCCTCACGGGCAGCATCATTGCAGATGCTCCTGAGACTCTGAAGCCTAAGGTTCTGTGGTCGCAAGGATGCGCAGGTAAAGCTCCGGGGCCAGCGCGTGGAGCTAGCGGAGATCGAGCGTGTGCTTTGCCGAAGCTCCACGGTGGAATCCTGTGCTGTGCTCCTTGTGCCAGCCCCTGGTTCAAGCGGCAAGGCCAGCAAGGCTGGTGAGGGCGGCGGGGCTGGTAAGGACCTGGACTGTGGTACATGCTGTATGTTGGTTGCTGTGGTTTCTTCGCTGGATTCCTCGGAGACTTTAGAGGAGGCCTTGCTGGAGGCCTGTCGAAGGAGCCTCCCCGGTCCCATGGTGCCTCAGCGCTTTCTTTTCCGGCGAACCACGGAGTGGCCGCGCACCACGTCGGGCAAAGTCGATCGCCGCGCCCTCGCCGCTTCGGTCGCAGCAGAGCTGGGAGGCCGGGAGAAGCTAAAGGAGGCAAATGAGGGAAATAAGGCAACCGAGGGAGCACAAGAAGGACAAAGTGGACAAAGGCAAGAGGCCTTGTTGGCCATCCTGAGGGAGGTCACAGGCAGGGCGATCGCCGCGCCTTCGCAGCCGCTGGACAGCTTGGGCTTAACCTCCCTCTCGGCTGTGAGGGTGGCCTCCATGGCACTTGCTCGTGGGATACCTGTCTCCGTTCGCCAAGTGCTCTCACCGGGTGTCTCGGTGTCAACGCTCGTGGAGGACCCTGCGCGCGGAGCGTCCAAAGCGCTCCAGGACCTGGCCGCCCTCCTCCTGGGCAGCAACGAGGTGGCCTGGAAGGTTCTTGCCGCGCGGCCGATTAAGGCGAAGCCCGTGCACTCCCCTACGGATTCTGCCGCGGATTCCGGTGCCGATTCCGCGGATTCTGTGGATGCGACGGTGCTCTTGTGCCCTGGCGACGGAGGGGCCGGGATCGACGGCTACCGGCCCCTGGCTCGAGCCCTGCTGGAGGCGCGCCAGTGAAGGGCCTGAGTGTGAAAGCAGCCTCTTTGGTAATTCTGCCTCTTTGGTACTTCTGATGGCATCTGATGGCATCTGTGAGTGTGCTGAGCACGCTCTGTGTGAGGCTGCGCCGAATCTGGCTGCGGTGAGCGCGGCCGACGGCCTTCTCAGTGCGAGATCGGAGCCATGGATGACCTGTGAGACTGTCGTGACTGCAGTGACTGTAGTGTTTTTCGTAGGCGTTCTTGTCTGCAGCTTGGCAATAGAAACGCCCTTGAGGAGAGCTTGGAGGATTTGGCGGGCTTGCTCTTGCAGAGGCTCGGTAAGCTTCTGACCCGACAGCACACCAGAAGCACTTCCGGTACAAATTGCACGAGAGATGGGCCGACAGTACTGTGCCAGAGATTCATGAAGGCGAGGGCGCATAGGAAATGAAGGAATGGGAAGCGGAAATCAGGGAAGGGGGGTGACATGGAACGACTTGGGGAGTGATGGGAACAGTGAAAGGCAGTGCTGGAGTGCAGCCCATCTGCAACTTGCGCAGGTCCGTCACAGGTGGCTCGAGCAAAGGCATTGTGCTGTTGGGCCACTCCTGGGGCGCCATGCTGCTGGGACGGAGTTTAGGGTTTCGGGTTTCGGGTTTAGGGTTTCGCTGCAAAGCCACAGGTCTTTCCGGAAGCATTCTCCAATGTTCTCCATGCAATGAGGTCCGGTATTGACATGTCTTCTTTCACACACCCATCGGCCCCACGACCTATGAGCAAGCCTAATCTAACAGCCCGCTCCAGGGAGCGTTTCAGCGTGAAGAACAAACCTTGTTGATATTTTGCCTGAGGGAGGGTGCAGTACACTTGCAGGAGTGTTACACTTGCAGGAGTGTTATATTATAGGCAATTGTTGGGGCTTTTGTTCTGGTTGTACGTCCACCGTGTTGGGCAGGTTAACTTGGGAAGCAGAACTGCTAGGGGCGGTATAACCGCGGGAGTATGCACCTAGGTACCAAGTTAAACTCTACAGTACGTAAATCTGAGGTTTCAAGAACACAGACATGCATGCTTCACAGGCCTGCCCTTGCCCGCAAGTCTATGCATGAGAACCGGAGGCTCGCGCTGGCTCTGGCCCGTGCCTTGCTTGCTGATGGGAAAGCTCTGCAGGCTGGGAATCCGTCTGCATCAGGATGCATCTTGCTGGCATCTTGCTGGCATTTGCTGGCGTCACTGCAGTGTTTCCTCCCTTCCGCTGCCCGTAGGCGGTTTGGCTGTTGGACCCGTCCTCGAAACACTTGGTACCGGACTTACCGGCCGAGCCAGCCGAGGAGGCCGGGTGTGGATCAAAGGGTGCTCGTCCACGGAAAGATCGGTGCGCAAGCCATTAACAGCCACCAGAAAGGCTCCACAGTATGTGTTAAAGACTTTGTTGTTTGCTCTCATTTATGAAGAAACACGGTCGCAGCACAAAAGCTGCGTTTTGAAGCAATGCGGTTTTTGAGAAGCATGCGTGAGCATTCGAGAGCATGCGAGAGCCTTAGAGTCTTAAAGAGAAGATTGAGCCTTTCTGGTAGCACGACATTCCCCACTGTGGCACCTGAGGAGGTCCATCAGAAAGAAAAAGGGGCTACCGGGCACATGGGCGCAGTGAGGATGTCTTCGCAGGGTTTCGCAGCCTTCCCAGGAGGCTTTGGTCGAGTTCCTGGAGATGATGCTGCGCTTGGCCTCACAGGGCACTGCTGCTTGGGTGGCTGCGCAGCTGGCACTGCAGGACGGAGACATGTCCTCAATAATGGCCATGCAACAACATGAAGGGGCGACAACTAGCTCCGGCCAAAAGTGGCAGGACGCATGCAATGCTGCCAGCTTAGGGAATCTGACTGACGCGGAGGAGGCAAGTTCGGACATGGCCGTTGAAGAAATTTTGGATGTACCATTGTACGTTCAGAACTGGAGCTGCCCGTCTCACATGCTGTGACAGGCATTGGGCGACGCATGGCCGCATGTGCGGCATGCCGCCAAACGTAGGCCGAAGCGGTCTGCAAGACACATGGTGACGTGGCAAGACAAGTGGCTTGTTTCGTGGCAGGTCTCGCAACTTAAAGTTGCGACCGCGCTCGTTGGGCCCGCTAGACCCGCTGCCGGTGCCAATCCACGTGATGCTGGCTGCACGGGACGGTGAGAGCAACGAAGACGGCAAGCGACGATACGAAGATGCTGGGCAGCCAAGGGCTCGTTGCTTGATGTGTTCTTTTTTTTAATTTGGTTCTCATCAGCAATCCGGGGCGGAGGGTTGATCTACCAGGTGTTGCATGCACGAGCGAAATCCGCCTGTGTGTACTTAGTGACCGACCGGCACGCAGAGGAAGTGGAGCGACTGCTTCAGCAACTTTCCGCGGATGTCTCTGTTTCATGGGTGTCCGGCAACCATCATTCCATGCTGGAGAAGCTTGTCGGCATATGGCCAATTTTTGCTCCTCAATCTTTCTCGTTTGCTGTAGTGGGATCAGACAGGCTTGCGAACTGCATGTCTCTGGCCACTGCCCTGGTTCGCTCTACAGACCTTCCTGGATCTGGAACATAGCCCCTTTGCTATTCGGACATGAACAAGGACTTCCTCTTGGCAGTGCTATGGATGCACATTGTGGACCAGCTTTTGGCAAGAAAAAAATCCCCATGCGCTGGATGCAGAGCAGGTGGCGGCTGCATGGCGACACGCCCACATACCGTAGCCCTGAAGAAGCGACTGGAACTGACGATGCCTCTGCGTAGGAACAAGCCGCCTTGCAGTGTGAAGAGGGTCCGAAGCTGCGTTCGAAGACACTTCGACGTGCTTGAGGAGTCTTGAGTCTATTGGGTCGATTTTGCCCTCTCGGAGCAGTCCCAAGAACTGCCGCCTTGTCGCGAAGAGGAGGTGCCACAAGTTGACGAAGTCGCCCTTCATCGACCTTTGTGGGGTTCTGCCGCTCCACAGTGCCTCGTGAGATGATTGGACCAAAGATTACGGCCAAGCCCAAATCACGTCTCTGAGTCCGTTTCAGCGTTAGTAAGCTTTCAGCTGGCAGCGCCTGCGGATGCTAGCAAAAGCTTGGGTTCTTTCCTACTAGCACCTTCGTCTGCGATTACAAATACTAGCATGTTTCCACATGCATTGATGTTGCCCACTATAAGCTCTCACTCGTTCACGCACTCGCTCTTTCGCTGGCTGGCTCGCTCCCCCTCCTCTCCTCCCTCTCCCTGTGCCAAGGGATCTCTCTCTCGCTCTTCTCTCTCTCTCTCTCTCTTTCTCTCTCTTTCTCTCTCTCGCTCTCTCTCTCTCTCTCTCTGACTGTCTCAACAAAATGTCATGTGAGATGCAGCGGCTTCAGAATTCCTTGTAAAACCCACTTCCATACGAAGACTTTTCTTTACTTTTCGGGTCCGATTTGAGGGTTTTCTGCGGCAAACCCAGCGGCAGAATCCTTGGCAAAATCTAGGCCTGGCGACGACGCAGCGGCGGAATGCTTGGCAGGATTTAGGGCTTAGGACAGAATTTGGGGGAAATTTGGCGGCAAAATGCTTGGCAGGTTTCAGGCCTGACGACAGATTGTTGGGAAAATGTGCCCTTTCCCAAACAGCCGAGCCCAAAAAAATCTCGGCTGTTTGCCTGAATAAGGGGCTGCGGGTGGGTGGGGGCGGGTGGCCGGGGGGTGTGGGGGGGGCCGGGACCACTCGGAACCACTCGCGCTGGGAGTAACATTCAGACCCCCCCCCATTTCATACGAGCTTCGTATGGAAATGGGGGGTCTGGATTCCGAGTGGTTGCCGAGTGGTTCCGACCCCCCCCCCCCCCCCCCCTGCCCACCCGCCCCGCCGCCCCCCCACCCCCCGCCCCCCCCACGCCCATCCCCCCCAACTCCCACCCCCCACCTTACCATACAACCGAAACTCAAAAGATTCGGCGGTAACGCGACCCACACCCTTAGAACCGAAACTTAACAGATTCGGCTGTAACCCCCAACCCCCAGTCAAATCCGCCCCGCCCCCCATCCCCCCCGCTCCTGGCATTTGCCAGGGTTTCAGATCACAGCCCAGATTCTTGCCATGGCTTTTGCCAGAGTTCTAGATCACAGCCCAGATTCTTGCCCTAACTTTGAAGGAAATTTTGGCGGCACGGGCTAATCTTGCCAGCTAGTTGTCCCGACACTTTGCCGGGCACTTTGGCCAGCGATGCCGGCGAATCCGGCAGCAGTCTTCGTATGCAACTGATTCCCACAAAGAATTCCATAGCCTTAGCACGGTCCTGTCGGAAGACTGTGCTGTAGTGTAGTGATCTGTAGCGGTCTGCAAGCCTCCGTGGCATCCTTGATGGACATGTACTCGTAGCACATCACTTCTGCTAAGCCAGTGTGCATTCGGATTGCACGCCTGAGATGCTGTGTTGGATCCAGCATGGTGTGGGCCACTTCAGGGCCCAATAGCACACAGTTGGAGTACGTCGGCGTTGGCATGGGAACGCTGTAGGCAACTGCCGCCTGCTGAAGGCACAGCATATTTCCCCTCCCCCCCTGCCACCAGTTGAGCAATCCCTCTGAGCGCAAGCTTTCCACTAGCCAACATTGCAAGACAAAAATATCATTGCCGGAATGCGGTGGGCGCTGCGCCCCTTTTGCACGTCGTGGTCGAATGGAAGCCGAACACGTGCCAGAAGCTTAGACCTTCACCTTTCTCACCTGAGGGGATTTCCCACATCGCGTTCTGCAGCTGTCCATGCAATCCAAGAAACAAGACAGCGCAGAACCGTTGCAGGACGTGTCTTATCTGCAGCTCTAACTGCCTTTGTCAGGTGGGATGGTGACTTTGACAAGCGCCTCGAGAGCTGCATCTGGGAGATCTTTGGTGCACAGAGCGAGGACGATATCGGCACAGTGAATGTGCGCACTCTGCATACCTCATGCTCCTGCACCACATCTGGTTCTTGAGTTCTTGCTCGAGAGCCCTCAGCCTCCCAAGTCCAAGGGGGCTGAACATGAAGAACAGCTGAAGGGTCTACGGTTTGGGGGTTTACGAAAATAAGGGACCCCCCCCAATCAACCCCCAAATGGTAGAACTCCCTTGCAACCAGGACCCCAAGAAGGTACCATTTCGGAAACTCCCATTTTAATGTATCATGGTCCCCTAAACCCTAAACCCTAAACCCTAAACCCTAAACCCTAAACCCTAAACCCTAAACCCTAAACCCTAAACCCTAAACTCTGAGCCAGGAAGAAGCAGCAGCCCGGGAGGCCGAGCTGAAAGAGTCACAGCCCCGGGCGGGCGTTTGCCCGGTGCAGTGGGGCCAGCAGGATGGGGCCTTTAAGGGCTCTCATTGGACTCACTAAGGGTTTTAGGGTTTAGGGGTTAGGGGTTTAGGGTTTAGGGTTTAGGGTTGTAGTCAGGTTTTTTTAATTTTTTGTTCAGTCGGCCTTTGGGATGTACAATTAGGGTCTCTGAGTCTCTCTTGCCTTGTGCTGAGCCGCAGGACGTGGCATTCCGATGCTTAGACTGCGCAGCTTGGCCTCAACTTGGCCGCAGCGTGCGAACCGCCCACAGCCTGTGCTGTGCGAAAGCTCTTGCGCTGCCGTGTCAGTATCCAATTGCCATGGCTGAGGAGTTGGACAGCAACTGCATTCAGTGCTGCGATTGCTTCTTCAAGGCAAGCTGTGATGTTCTGTCGGTGTAACTTTGCCACCATCTGTCGCCTGATGATGCATGTTGGCGTAGGCGCCGCATGAGGGCCACGAGGTCGCGCTGATTCGCACAGTGGGCGGAAGCTGTGACTGCCGGGTGCTCAGAAAATGCAACCTGGCATGTTTACCAGGCCAAGTCTGCCCAGTGTGCCGCAGTGTGCCACAGTATTCCAGGCGGAGATCCGCACTCCTGGGCGCCATCAGGCTTCTGCCCGGAGCACTGCGAAACACCACAAAGGCGGAGTTGAGAAGCGGTGGCTCCGTTGCCTCTCTCGCTCTCTCTTTCTCTCTCGCTCCTCTCTCTCTCTCTCTCTCTTTGATATAAATATAAATACATATATACTTATAATATGTATACACATATATACATACATGTGTATATACATATATATATATATAGCACGGACATGAAAAGCAGAGTGCAGGCTCGACAACGAGGAGTCGCTGGACCTCTTACCTCCACTGCTCCGCACACGTGCAGAGGTGGCCGGTGTCTTTTCCGCGATGTGCCTGCATCATTCTGAGGCTGCCGGTGAGCATGCAGCAGCATATCAATCTGCGCATAGCCAGCTCCCTCGTCATCTGCCTTTTCATGACCTTGCACGTGCTTTTCGCCTCAGCACTGCATCGTTGGAGAGGCCCTGGTGCCCGAGCTCATGGCGCAGGTGCGCCGCATTGGACTGATCTTCAGTTTCTAAGGAAGCCAAGCATCTCCACGTACTTCTCAGCGTGTTGAGAAAGGGAGCTACTTGATCGAACGGCAACGGCTCTGCATGTAGATGGCGGATGCCCGATTTCCACAGACGCACCTGCTCATTCGGGTAGTCGAGGTTGACCAAAGGCTGACGCCCCGACTACGCATGCACGGACTACGCAATGAGGTGCGGTTCTGCAACTCTGGGTCTCCAGGGTTACACGCTTCCGAGCAAGAGCGGCATCCACCAGAACTTTGCATACCTGCCACGTGGTCAGCCAAAACCACTCAAAGCCATGTAGGAAGGAGACCTTGGGCCCGTAGCATAGGCATAGCAATATTTCGTGGGCCAGATGTGGTCAGTGTGAAGCGGTCGCGGTGTGAGGCTGAAGCAGACAAGACGATCCGTGAGAAGCAGGCATGTCTGGTCTTAGGGTTTAGGGTTTAGGGTTTAGGGTTTAGGGTTTAGGTTTTAGGTTTTAGGGTTTAGGGTTTAGGGTTTAGGGTTTAGGGTTTAGGGTTTAGGGTTTAGGGTTTAGGGTTTAGGGTTTAGGGTTTAGGGTTTAGGGTTTAGGGTTTAGGGTTTATTCTTTTCTGCCATAGACCAGGCGTCACAAACCAACTTTGTACTTGCTGCGCTATGCATATGCTAGATATGCCAGCCTATGTATCCATACACCAGTGTGCAAACAGGCTTCACGACTTACAACATACACTAGCTGCATGTTGTAGCTTTACTGCTGCAGTTAATACCACGTGTCCCGCTTTGTGGCGGAAGCAGAGCCGGAAGCCATGTCCTTGTAGAGGCTGAAGAGATTTCACGCAAGCACCACGCGCCGTTCTCGTGGACAAATGTTCCCGTGCGGCGACCACCTTCAAAAGCTGTAGGGTCTGCCGAGCGCTTGGACATTTGTTTTGTGGCTTGCGCCGACAGCAGACAACACCTTGCAGGTTGCTTGTATCACTGACATATTCCCTACAGGGATCGCCCTACATTGAATGAGAATGTTCGGTTCGATATATATGTGATCTTCGTAGGATACGTAGAATTTTTGATCTTTCCGCAAGAAAGTCTTGAGAATCTTGAGAAGAACTTTATATACCCACTAGGTCATATATGTATGCATGCTACCCCTCAAGGGCCTATGTGGTATGTCTTCTCGTCATGTAGGGTTCTAAACCCAGCATAAACATAGATTATGTTTAGCAGCACGCAGCAAGCAAGCAAAAACAATACTTTACATTGCTATTCTGCTTCCCATGTGTTGCAGCAGCCAAGAAGACCAAGAATCAATACTCAATACTCAACATTGTATATTACTAGCAAAACTTTTTTTATGATTTTGAAGCAGGTAACTTTACGTCTGTGAGTATGTAGCAAATTACAGGACCCGATAACCCCACATGTGTATTTTAGCTTTTCGCAAGTTGTGTATAAGTGAATACGAGGGAGTGAGTGAGCGAGTGAGCGAGTGAGTGTGTAAGTATAATCGCTTGAATGAGTAAGCGTGCGTGAGTGAGTGACTGCGGGTGATTGAGTGAGATGAATGAGGTGAGTGAGGTAAGTGAGGTGAGTGAGTAAGCGAGTGAGTGAGTGCGTAAGTGTGAGTGAGTGAGTGAGCGAGTGAGTGAGTGAGTGAGTGCGGGCTGTCCTTCGCCGCAGTTTTGCTAGCGTCCAGGCGTGGGATTCAGGGCGACAGGTTCCGGCTTGAGGGCATTGTTCTTTTGTCATCCGGCAAGCCAGGTGTTACGTTCTCAGAAGCAACTGGGGGTTTCCGAACATAGGGGTACCCTTTTCGGGGGTCCCTCTAAGGGGATTCCATTCTATTTGGGGTACAAAGTGGGTACCCTGAATTGGGAAATGCCCAACTTTTGCAGTACTAAGTTACTATGACGTCCGGCCAGGCAGCGCTTGTCTTCGGGGCCTTGCGAAGACTGGGTGAGGCCAATCCAGTCAGCAGAGTTCTGCAAAAGAGAGCTGCGCTGGGGTGGGCGGGGGCTGTTCTGTGAGGCGGCCTTCGGTCTGCGCTATCTTGTGGTACAAGAGCTCCAAGGAATGGCCGGGGCATGGCAACATGAGCTACAGTAGACTGCAGTAGCTTCTGTTTACGTGAAGGCAGTTTTTTCGCTACCTCTTTTCATGTCGGCTCCCTGAGGCGACCGCTTGGCGAACTGGATGAAAGCCGGGGTGGACGAGGCTCTCTTCTCCGAGGCAAGCGCTTTTGGTCTGTGCTATGGGTGCTTGATATAGGTAGGCTTAATGCATAGAGGCAACGCAACTTGTCCAATGCCCGCATCTCTCTTGGCTTCTCCAGTTCCCCATGCTGCTGTGCTGGAGGCTTTGGAGCGGTTCTTCTTGCTGTACGTGCAGGCGGGGGCGAATCTGTTTTGTGCATGTTTGCAAGTGCTGCCCTTCTGTCTCTGCATTGTCACGCCGCGGCAGGTCTCCCCATGTTTCAAGCGAACCTTCGCGAAGACGTTCATCCGCCAGTACGATCAGATCCTGCAGGTTCCCGGAAGAGCGAGAGGATCCGAGTGAAACACTTTAGCATCTGGTATGTATGACTATGTATGTAGGACTCCAGGAACTGAGCAGCTGCTGTCATGGGGAACTCTGCAACAGTAGGGGCACAGCCTGGAGGATGCTCCTCGCCTGGATGCCCTTGGAGTTCAGTTCCTCACCATCCCCGAGGCAGTGAGATTCTGTTGCCATCTTCTTGACGTCAACCTGCACTCACCTGAAGGTCCTCAGTCAAGACGACACCACCACAGAAAGCTTTAGCCAGAAGAAGAGTGCCCTGAGCGATGCGCTCCCAAACGTAAGTTCACATCCCAGTCACAGCACTGTCCATGATCCTGAGAGGAAGCTGTGCTGCTTCTGGAGAGTCTCTTGAAACTTGACTGACTCACACATGCACACATGCACGGTCTCACCAATGGCTGCTGCACATGAGCATTTCTGCGCGCATTGCGCTCCTAGAGAGTAGTCATCGCAAGCAATCTGGAGCCGTCCAACTTTTTTTCCCACATGAAGGCATCCAACATAATACATAAAATGCATGGCAGTTCGGGTGCCAATAGTATAGGCTGCGCCACAACACAGGAAACCCAGCAAAAACTCGCGAAGGATTAGGAGCCGGCGGGGTGTGGTGGGGGGGGGGTGGTGCATCGGACTTGCGCCTGCAGGTTGCCGTGGAACTCGTTGCGAAGGAGGCTCCGTGTGGTTGGACAGTTGAAGTTGTGCAGGAGAGAAAACTGCATGAAGTTAGATGAAGTTACAATGATGAGAGAACTCTGGCCCTCTTGAGATGCTCTTCCCGCAATTGCAAGTCATCAATGTAATGAGCCTGGTCGAATCAGGCTGTCTGAACAGAAGGCTGCGCAGCAAATAAGCAAGCCTGCTAATGGAACTGGGATCCCGGCCGTTCTTCGAGTAGCAGAGCTTGTGAAATGGGCCCGCCTGCATGCCAATGCGTTACGTAGGAGCCAACAGTTGCGCTGCTGCCTTCTGAGGATGCTTTTGGAGCCCTTCTTTCAGCAGCGAACAGGCCAGCTGTGCAGCTTGATGCCTCTGTGTTCGGCTGTCAGCAAGTTAGTTGAGTTGTGCGCAACCGGGTTGTGTCAGGCAGGGTTTTTCAGGGAATGCCCTCGGCGCATGTTCGGGGAACACAAGGGGGCCGAGCTTGTCATGGCCGGCGGTCGAGTTGGCAATAGAGAGACCATGACGAGTTGGGAGTGTCCAGCAGCGGAGTTGGAGACAGGGGACATTTGGGTCTTTAGGGGGATTAGGGCTTAGGGTTTTTAAGCGGGGTTGAGAGCCCTGAAACCCAGACAACCCCAAAAGCCCTTCGGGTTTTCAGGGTTGGGGTGTTTATGGTTTGGTTGCGTTTTTTGTTGGGGCTTAGGGCCTTCCAGGTTCAGGTTTAGGGCTAAGGGTTTAGGGTTTAGGATTTTTGGGGTGTTTGGCGTGTAAGCTTTTCAAGTTTCGGGTTTAAGGCTTTTAAGTGGTAGGGTTGCAGGTTTACAGGCGTTAGGGTGCTAAGGGTTACTTGCAGGTGTTTAGGGCTTAAAGTTCGTAGGGCTTAGGGTGTAGGATTTTCGGGCCGTATGGTTTCAGCATGTAAGTTTCGGGTTTTTCGTGCTATTCGGGTTTACGGTTTTTAGAGTTTAGGGCTTTGTGAGGTTTAGCGCTTGCGTGTGTTTCGGCTGCAGGGTTGTAGGCTTTTGGGTTTAGGGTGTTGGGGCTTTGGGGCTTACAGTTAGTTACGGTTTCATCAGGGTTTAGAATTTGGGGACTTTTAGGGCTTTTAGTTTTTAGGGTCTAGGGTCTGGGTTTTAGGGTTGAGGGCTTCTAGTGCTCCTGACTTTCGCTCGTGCGGTATTCCCGGCGTGCCCTCTTTATGGCAGACGCGTCCCTCGAGTATTCCCTGACAGCCTCTGCTGGTTCCCACACGGCCCCCCTCCCCCCCTTGTTCCCGACTTACCCCCCCCCCCCCCACCCATTCCCGACACATGTCGGACTCAACAGTCGTCCCTGTGTAGCCTTGTGTAGCTTCAAGGTTCATAGCTTCGCTGCAGCAACCGTGTAGCGCACTTGCAGTTTCAGCATTCTGGGACAGGTTACTAACTTCCGTCGTGGATCACGAGGACGAGAATATGGTGTTCCAGGATCCGGAGCCTCTGCGCCTCGTCTAAGACGCCTTGGCTAAGACCTACGCAGCCTCCCGCCATCTTCACCAGATGCTGATGAACATCCGTGCAGCACAGGCAAACAAATTGGGAGAAGCTGAGAAGCGTCTTCCATTCTGTTGGCTTTCTGTGCTTCCACAAGTCCGTCTGTGAGTGTCTCGGCCTGCTGATGGCGTTTGGGTCAGTTCAGTTTGAAACTGTAAGATTGCAGGCTGCAGACTGGAAGTGCAGAGGGTGATGACATGCAGACATCAGGCATATCCTCAAGACGCCCTCCGTGTTGGAGGCCATAGCCGAGGTGCGCAGCGGGGAGCGGGCTGATTCACGTGTCAGGTGCACTTTGTGGTTACTTCTGGCGCCAGGTGCTGCAGCGCCTTTGGCGCATGTCGCCTCAGCAGCGGGCCATCGTGCGACATGTTCTTTACGAGACCCGGCAACTCCAAATCCAGGCCCTGTAGAGGGTTTGCTGGGAAGATCGTTCAATCATGGGTGGGTTTGCCAAGTTTGCACCATCTCGTACGACCAGGCACTTTAGGCTTTTTTGCCAGCCGAGATGTGTCGATGCCAATTTTTCAGTTGTCCACCGTCAAGGCCCTCCAACAAGATCCGAGCAATCCCACACCAGAGCCTATCATGATGGTCTACAAGATGAGGCTCTCAGACGACGTAAGATGCCTCTCAACACCATCCTGACTCAGGCAGCTGCATCAAGAACTCCCCCACCCAGCAACATGTCCAACTTTGACACCTTGACACATTGCCTTAGCGCCCGTGAGCTTGAACAGGAGCAGACTAGGCCTTGCTTCTGTTGCCTTCCAGCCATGGGTGGTCATGGCTGAGCAACAAGATGCGGAGGACTGCGCTGCGCAGGTTGTTGTTGAACATTTCCCCAATCTTGCCCAGAAAGAATCCAGTTTTGGGATCAGAGATCCTGGCTCTGACCCTCAAATTCGGAATCCTGGTCCCATTGCAAATGCACCCTGACGCGGAATCTTCAAGGAACAGCGATGCTGCTCCTTGATTCCCGTGCGCATTCTTAGGAGCTGCGGCTCGTTGGCCAGAACCTCACCGCGCTGCCCGATTTACGAGGCATTTCCGCCCGCGCTTCTCACCTGTTCTGCTTCTATGAAGAGCCCTGCCCACGGCGACAAGACAGAGCCCAGAAATGCCCGGAGTATCTGCAAAGGAGCAGGCCCGCATTGCGGGCGCTTGGTTGTAGAATTGTGGCAGCGCATGCGCCTTGCTCGAGGTCTGGATTTGGGTCCCAAAACACCTCTCAAACCGTAAAACCTGGAAGGAGTGTTTTTGCTTTTGGAGCCCATCCCTCCCAGACGCTTCTGACGTCTGAAGGCTTCTGCCACGTCACAGCGCTCGACGCTTCAGAGAATCGCTGCTGGGCGCAAAGCCGATGCTCAGAGCAACGGCAGACTCCACAGACACCCAAACAAGAGATGGAAAGGATCTTCCTCGCCCGAATCTCCGAATCTCACCCTAAGCCCGGTACAGTCCCTGAACCTTCATAGACCTTAAACCCTTCTCGCCCTACACCCAGGCCTCGTCTCCGTGGCCCGGCTCAGTGCCCAGCTCCCCGCGCTGCGCCGGCTGTCCCTGGCGCGGAACCGCCTGCAGCGCTTGGGGCCCGGATTCCGGAGATGGAGTCATCTGGTGTGTGAGTTGGGGTGACCCAGAGAGGTGGCTTTTGGTAGTATTACTGGTGTTTTTTTTTTTTTTCCCGGAGGTTGGGGGGTGAATCGATTTCTGCGAGCTTCTTTGGTGTTCCTGAAGGTGTCGAGCGCCTCGGCGACCTACCGAAGCTGGAGCTCCTGGATGTGGCCGAGAATCTGCTCGGGCCGACCCCTGGAGCTGCACCTTGGAAGCATATTCTGGAGCTTTAGTAGCCCGAATCCTGCTTCTAGGGGCTGTAGTTTTGGGAACATGTAGCAGATGTAGTCCATGTTGCTTTTCAAGCTGCCTCTCAGCAACCCTCACGTTTTCAGATTGTAGGCGCTGCACATGATCGGGAACTGCTCGGAGCTGCGCGCCATCTTCGTGGCCGGGAACCCTTTCGTGGAGGTCTCAGCCACTTGGCTTTAGAATCTGAATCTGCTTGGTCCCCTGGAGCTCCCTGCTCCGATGACCGCGGAGGCAGATCTCCGAGCGTACCGGTATCAGCTGTTGGACCTGGTCCCATCCCTGCGGTTCATCGATGGAGAGGACCTGCGTTTGGGTGTGTTCTGCGATCTTCCCAGCACCTCGGGACCTGCGCATACCTGCGCCCTGCCCGGAGGCTGTGGGGAAAGCCAGGCCTGGTGTGGAGCTATTCTCGGGGCCCGGAGCTTTCGAGCTCAATACAAAGTATTACCATCCCACAGACACTCGGCGACGCAGAGCTGACATGACTTGACCAGCATGAATTGACCACGTCGTTCTGCTTGGGTTGCCTGGATAAGGAGAGTGTGATGCAATGGCCACTTAGCGGAACAACCAGCCGGGCCGACTGCAATTCACGGATGCATTCTCATCCGTGCTGTCACATGCTACATGAAGTTCCGACGAAGTGGTGTAAGTCATGGACCGCAGCAGCGTAAATGAAATCCAATCGTCACATCTCATCCCCCCCGCTACGAGGATGGTGAAGTGGCCAAGCTCTCCCCTGCCCGTGGGGTCAAGAACATCCTACGTGACGGGAGGCTCGTAGCGGGTTGGCCATGCTTCTTTAGGTGTGTCCGCAGGAATACCCGAAATGGGATGTTGGGGTGCCAGGGAGCTCTGCCTACACTGCCTTCGCAGACCGGAAGCGGCGGACGACCAGTGCCGTGCTCAGTCAACTCCTGCGATGCAAGACTATAAGTCCGCATACCCAAAAGCAATCTGCATCCATTCACGGCCCTACATCGATGCATTACTTCCTCGAATACTTTGTGGTTGTCCGGAGACTTGAAAATGGACGGTGTTGATCCAATGCGCGACACGCACTGTCCGCACCACAATGTTCTCTGCCTCTCCGCCAATGTTCCAGATCGCCAGCACGGCATCCTCTGACGCTTTGCGCTGAATCCCTGTGATCTCTATCTGTGTAACTATAGAGCTCTGAAACTAGATAAATATGCAACTATGTAGCTGCAGACCTAGCTATCTATATAGCTCGAATGCTCTCTGGCCGTATAGCTCCGAAGCCCCCTTGTGGCCTTCGTATGCTGAGGCCTGCCCCAAGCTCGCTTTGCGCGCAGCGCCTCGGAAGGTGCCCTGAGCTCCCTTGCATCCAAGCGGCCGAAGGTCGCGTCGGGAGCCCAGGAGAGGAGCGCCAGAGCGCGAAACGGGGTGATCTCTTTCCCCCTATGTCTCAGACTCAGGTTCAAAGGTCTTCTGATCATTCTACATATATGCAATTATACATGTACATATTTACATATATGTATATATGTCTATATATATATATTTATATGGGCGTCCGCCTATTGCGGTTCCCCTTATTTTTTATAGGTTACATAAATGTATATATTTTAAACCCTAAACCATCGTCATAACCACGGCAACAAGTCGATGATGATGTAGGCACCCCAAACCTATAGGGTTAAGTTTGACAGGTTTAGGGCTTAAGATTGAGGCATTTAAACGTAAGCCCCCAATGAAACCTAAACCCTAACCGTTCAACCCGATAGAGTTAAGGTTAAGCGGTTAGGGTTTCAGATTTAGGTATTTTTAAACTTTAAACCTAAACCCATAGAGATTTAACCTTAAGGGTTTAAAGTTCGGGCATTTAGACCTTAACCCTGATTCGTTTAGGGTCAGAACCCTAAAGCCCGATAGGGCTCTACAAGGAACAAAGGTTTTGACCCTAAAGGGTGCTGAAGGTATACATGCCCAGACCTTAGGTTTTCTTGAACCATTGAACCCTACAGGGTTTAAAGGCTTAGGGTTAAAGGTTTGGGCATTACCAATACAATAGAACCTTAAAGCCCTATAGGGCTTCGGGCTTAAATCCCTAAACCTTAAATCCCATAGGGTTATGCCTACGTTTGTAGGGCTTTCGTCCCGGTGACGCGAGAATACTGTGAGCAAACGTCCTTTCACTACTTCCTGGGATTCAAAATATACACAAACCATATCGTCATATGATAGAATTCAGGTTTTGCTTATCGGGGGATGGTTGCTCTGGATATCTTAGCCTAGGTAAAGTTTTTAGGATAGAGGCTTTGTTTTGCTTATTGGGGCGTGATGGGGTTACCCTCATTGTCTTATACTTTATTTACATGGATATAAATCAAACCCGGAACCCTAGTTATAACCGCAGCAACAAGTTATAACCTTGTCATATACATATATCCGCAGAGCTCGTCAAATCCGATCATGATGTAGGCGCCCCAACCCTATAGGGTTAAGGTTGACAGGTTCAGGGTTTAAGATTGAGGCATGTAAACCTAAGCCGGCAATTCAACCTCAACCCGAACCTTGAAACCCTGTAGAGTTAAGGTTTAAGGGGTTAGGATTTAGGATTTAGGCATTTAAAACGAAAACTCAAAGAGTTTTCACCTTAAGGGTTTAAAGTTCGGGCATTTAGACCTTAACCCTGATTCGTTTAGGGTCAGAACCCTAAAGCCCGATAGGGCTCTACAAGGAACAAAGGTTTTAACCCTAAAGGGTGCTGAAGGTATACATCGAACCATTGAACCCTATAGGGTTCAAAGGTTTAGGGTTAGTAGGATTTAAGGTTTGGGCATTAATTACCTTTTTCAATAGAACCACCCAATAGCGCTTGAGGCTTATATCCCTAAACCTTAAATCCCATAGGGTTATGCCTACGTTTGTAGGGCTTTCGTCCCGGTGACGCGCGAATACTGTGAGCAAATGTCCTTCAAAATAGAAACAAAAGGATAATTCAAGTTTTGCTTATCGGGGGATGGTTGTTTGAGATATCTTAGGTAAGGTAGAGTTTTCCGGATGGGTTTTGTTTTGCTTATTGGGGCGTGATGGGGTTACCGTCATTGTCTTATAGGTTTATTTACATGCATATAAATCAAACCCTGAACGCTAGTTATAACCGCAGCAAAAAGTTATAACCTTGTCATACACATATATCCTACTTGCTGGGATTCAACATGTAAGCAAACTATATCGTTAAATGATGGAATTCAGGTTTTGCTTATCGGGGGATGGTTGCTTGAGATATCTTAGCTAAGGTAAAGTCTTTGGGACAGATGTTTTGTTTCGCTTATTGGGGTGTGATGGGCTTCCCCTTATTCTTATGGGTTTACATAAGTGTATAAAAATCAAACCCCAACCCATAGTTATAAGCACAGCAATAAGTTATAACCTTGTCATATAGATATTTCCGCAGAGCTCGTCAAATCCGATCATGATGTAGGCACCCCAACCCTATAGGGTTAAGGTTGACAGGTTTGGGTTTAAGATTGAAGCATTTTAACCTAAGCCGGCAATTCAACCTAAACCCTAACCTTTAAACCCTATAGAGTTAGGGTTTAAGGAGTTAGGGTTTAAGGCGCAATCCCATATAGTATACATACACGTATGAGCAGAAAAGACACGGGGGACACTGCTTGCGATTCAGAATAGTCGGAGCAGAAAAGACACAGGGGACACTGCGTGCGAATCAGGCTTTTTAGGAGCAGAAAAGATGCGGACGAGGTACCTCGGCAGGAGCACCATTAAACCATTAAACCATTAAACCATTAAACCATTAAACCATTGAACCATTAAACCATTAAACCAATGGTTTCCCCTCCCCTAAACTATTAAACCATTGAACCATTGAACCATTAAACCATTAAACCAATGGTTTTCCCCATATGAGAATCCCTGAAACCATTAAACCATTAAACCATTAAACCATTAAACCATTAAACCATTAAACCATTAAACCATTCAGCCATTCAGCCATTAAGCCATGAAACCATGAAACCATTAAACCATTAAACCATTAAACCATTAAACCAATGGTTGCCCCCCCCATGAAAATGGTTGAATGGTTAAGGGGATTCTCATATGGGGGAAACCAATGGTTTCATGGTTTAATGGTTTATGGTTTAATGGTTTAATGGTTGAGGGGATTTTCATAAGGGGGAAACCATTGGTTTAATGGTTTAATGGTTTAATCGTTTAATGGTTTAATGGTTTAGGGGGTTTTTCATAAGGGGGAAACCATTGGTTTAATGGTTTAATGGTTTAATGGTTTAATGGTTTAATGGTTTAATGGTTTAATGGTTTAATGGTTTAATGGTTTAATGGTTTAATGGTTTTGGGGATTTTCATAAACGGGAAACCATTGGTTTACTGGTTTAATGGTTTAATGGTTTAATGGTTTAATGGTTTAACGGTTTAATGGTTTAATGGTTTTAGGGATTTTCGTATGGGGAAACCATTGGTTGAATGGTTAAATGGTTTAAACTGTTTAAGGGAATGTGCAAAAAAACACAGGGGAACCGCTATAGGCGGTGACCCATTTATATTGTCAAGTAGACAGGAAGCCATAGGTGCTACAGCTCTTTTTGGTGATTGTGTGTTGGTCCGTACGAGTTGAGCCCAAGTTGGGACATTTGAGCAGTTATCATGAGCACGGAGTGCGGAGTGCCACGGCCCAGGTCACTGCCAAAGAGCCTGAGTCGCTCAGCGTCAGCCGCAGCGCTGCGCGAAAAGACGTGGCCCAGGGAGCAGAAAAAAAAGGGGAGGCATTGCGGATTTGGGGGGTCAGGGTTTTCCCGGAAAGATGGTGCAGAAGCCATGAATGTCAGGCTACAGAATATTTCAACTGTTGCCCCGTGGACGGTCTTGCTCCAACCCCAACGCCTTCCAAGGTGGTTGTTTCCTTTAAGCTCCGTCAACTATGTCGGTTCTTCCGAACCGGCATGCGCGCAAGACAAACGCCCTGTGGGTTCAGGCTAGTGGGCTTCCCTGGCAAGTCGCCCCTTCTGCCAGGTCTTCACCCTAGAGTCCGAGATCCTGCGCTATTTCTTCACTCTTTGCGACTTCTGCAGACGGCCGCAGGCTACGTTGGAGGACGCAGACTAGTGCTGCACCGCCTAGGGGAGATTCATACGGGGGTTTACGAAAGTAAGGGACCCCTAGTGTACTCCCTCAAATAGTAGGATTCCCTATACATAGGACCCCAAAAGGGAACCCCTAATTTCGGAAACATATATGGTGTCGGGCTGCCAACCCCTCCCCCCCGCTTGTGGGTGTGGTTGGGGGGTTAGGGTTTAGTGTTTAGGGTTTGGGGTTTCGGGTCTACCCTGCCTGTGCTGTGAATGGGGGGTTGGCGTTTGGGGCTGAAGGTTTACGGCCAGGTTAAGGGTGTGAGGCTTAAGGTGGGTTGAAGGTTTACAGGAAAGGTTTGGGTTTGGGGGGGGGGGCAGGGGAAGGGGCGGATACCATGGTGGGAGCAGGATTTCATGAATGATGAGGGGGATACTGGGACCTGCTCAAGGAGCTCCAGCCCCTCTACGCCTGGCTGGTTGCCTCCTTGCAGGACTCCAGGGGCTTCCTCAGCAAGGTCCCCAAAGTCTTCAAATACCTTTGGATCATTTAGGGTTTAGGGTTTAGGGTTTAGGGTTTAGGGCAGTGGGGTACAGCCATTCGGAGCACGGTGCCCAGTTCTCTCAGTTCTACTTCCGTGCCCGTAGCCGTGTGCATCGTCGCCGTTGATGCCTAGGTTCCTTCAACAATGCCAGCGCGGCATCCTTCCACCTGCCAGCGTTGAGGTGCGGTTGCCAACAGTTTGGAACCTGTGTTTGACCGTGTCTACTACAAAAGGACTCGTAGCATGCCGTAGGTCAGAGAAAAATCGAAGCTGCTCAGCATCAAGCTTCCTTGGGGAGCTAGTGACCCGATGAGTCACGCCTGCACGTTGTCAAACAAGGCCCAGGTGGCCGATGTACTGTACAGCTGCTTTGGGGAGGGTGACTTCAAGGTGGTCGTGGAGGAGGAGTGTGAGGATGGCACCAAACACACGCAGTTTCAGGTGTGGTCTCTCCTGCTGAGAAGATGGTCGGAGGTGTTCGCCAACATGATGAGCCATGAGCAGTTTATGGAGGGATCGAAGGCCGAAGTTGTCATCAAAGATTTCTCTGCCAGTGCAGTGGAGGCATTCTTGCGCTTCCTCTACTCCGGAACACTTTCAGCAAACTTGGCCACGCTCATCGAGGTGGGTGTCATTGCAGACAAGTACCAGGTGCAATCCCTGTGTGCTAGCTGCCTGGGTGCTGCACGGGACAAGCTGGCCTCCGAGACAGCCTGTGAGATCTTTGAATGTGCAGATCGGTTCCATCTGGAGGAGCGGCTCCTGCCTTTGTTGCCATTTTTTTTTCAGTTTTGTTTTCGGTTCGTCGTTCCAAGCACGCAGGCGAAGCTGCTGCGAGTACAAGTCGTTCAGATTTTTGTTTTCTTAGTCGATGTCACTTCTGAAGGATCTGCGCCGCAAGGCCAAGGAAGAGATCCTCATCGAACCGAGGGATGCCCTGCCCCGCCGCTCCTCGCTCAGCGCCTCGGCAACAGAGTCAACAGAGTCCCAGTTTCCCGGTCCTGGCATGCGGGCGCGACGCGCGTCTCGTCTTCCTCTTGCTAGAAGTATACTTTCTGAGGCCCCAAGCTACTCGACGAGGTGCTGAGTAGCGAGCTGCTTTGCATCGAGGAGACGGGGCTCGGAGTTAAGTCGCATGCGGCCGCAGCCAAGCTTTCGTGTCTCGATTGCTGTAGCAGGTAGCAGAGCAGGACACCCACCCACTTGTTCATAAGAATACGGCCGGGCCCTCTTCAGTATAAGCATTGTCAATAATGGCCAGTGCCCGTCTGGCTGGTGCCTCACACGTAGAGACGTAGAGCCCTCCACAGTTCCCGTGGGAAGGACTGGGAGCTCCTGGAACTCTTCTTGGAGTGGGGCTCGGCCTCACCCGAAGACCTAGATGCCGTGCTTCAGCTTATCGCCAAGCACGTAGACCTGCGCGGCATTCCGGATGATGCGCCTTTCCTGCAAAGAGTCAAAGAGGTTCGCGCGGGCTGAAGAATGTCATGGTCCTGGGCGGGGCGTGGGGAGGGGGTGGGGGAGGGGCGGAGAGAGTGGCCATACTTCTAGTGCCGCGGCCTCTGCCGAGAGTGGGGATCAGAACATTCAAAAAGCGGAAGGAAACATACTGTTTCAATCTGTTTCACATTGCCTTGGGCAAGTCTCGTGAGTCTCTTTCTGGCATGTGCTTTTCACAGCCAGATCTTGGGTTCGGCAAATCCTGACCTCTAGAGCCTCTAAACTCTTACACCGCAAATCCCAAATCCCAAAATGGCTCCTTGGGCTGAGGATCCAGTGCGGCAGGTGTAGGACTAGAGGACTACAGGCATTAGTTTGTTGAGCTGCTTTGTCGGCTCTTGGTCAGGACTTCCAGCAGCTGTGCTCCGATTCTCGTGCCCGAGGCCACAAGGCCGTGCTGCTCCGCATGCGCGAGAAGCAGTCGCATGAGCAACGGTGCAAACGCAGTCAGCACTGCACAGACCTGCTGTCTGCGCTCTACTTGCGTCATATTGAAGAAGGCCACGAGAAGCTGCCCTTTCTTGGCTACTGGGTGAACGTTATCCCCGGAGATTTAAGCCAAGAATGGCTCAACAACGGTATTGAGCACATGCACCATGTTGCGAGGAATGGCACCTTCCTTAACCTGGAGGATGGCTGGATCATCTGGTTCTTTCCGCACACCCCATTTTATTTACTGGGGTTTAGCTTTGAGACATATATGCCCAAGGACGTGTGCTTCGAGATAGCTTGCTCCCACGACGGCAAAGACTGGCATGTTGCAATGAGTTCAGAGGGTGGCATACCTGCAGGAGATCTCACGGCAAGCAGCTACTACCCTCACCTTGTACAGTGGATTAAGCTTACGATAAAGGACGGCCTCTTTCACAATGATCTGCAAATCCATGGCATCCTGCGCACATGAACCAAAAGTGCGGTCTGGCATGTCCGGCCCTCCGGGAATACCTCTGAAAGCCACGACTGCTGCGACGAATCCGACCAGGGCGCGACTAAGTCCTCGCATCCTCGTAATCTGACTGAGCTGGCGTGGATTGGCGTGGGATGCGGCACACAGCCAAAGCCGTTTGTGAATACCTTGCCAGTCAACGACAGTGCCGGTGCTGAAAAGCAGGTTGTACGTGAACGTGCAGATTTCAAGGATCGGCTTCGCTGTTTTGTGGGGATGGATAGTACAGGAGGAGGGGGGTTGCATGGGTTTGCAGGAGGGTCTACCTCCCCCCATAGACTCATAGACTACACACAAGCAGATCATGAGTCGTCCTGCAGTCGCAGGCTTCTCACCCTCAGCCTAAACTTCGAGCTTCTCCTGGATCCGAGCCGCTCTTCCCAGCAAGGTCGTGTTAACCAATTTTCAGAGACAGGCTGCCCATGGCAGTCGCCGGCGTCCATAGGCTGTTGGGGTGCCCTGGAGCCTCGTTGGGGACGGGTTGGGCAGGAGAGAGGCGCTGCTGTCTTCATCTGGAGTGCGCATTAGGCTCGCTGATTGGAGCTACCCGAGGCCTTGCTGACAGCTGGCGGAAGATATTCCCTCGAGATTTCCTTGCCCTCGGCCCGGCTTCGCTCACGTTGTAGGTGCCGGCTGTTGGGCAGCAACGTGTCTACCATGTCCACAAGTGATGTTCGACAAAAGTCCTTGCCAGCGTATGGAGCTCGCGTGCATTTGCTCAGGTGACCTGCATCATGCACACAGTGCGCACGCTACGATTTGAGGCAACGAACAGTTGTTAGCTTTCACAAGTCGTTGTGATGACCTTTACGTAGTTCGTGGGGCTTTAAGCAGAACGTGTCCAGGACTTGGCCGTTACTTGCTTGTTTTCTGATTCTTTTGGCGGAAGCTCAATGAATGTGTGAACAGTTCTCCGGATCAGCCGCCTCGAGAAAGATCAACGCGAGTGAAGCGTCCGCAGAGCCGTCTGGGTCTTTGACGTGTGTACATCTCAAGCACGACTCGCCTGCAAGGTTTTCAGTCGCACAGAAGCTGCCTTGTTTCTTGAAGCTCTCGAGCACTGAACGACACTTGCGAAGGCGGAGATCCGGGCGGGCTGGTGGGTCCGGAACGGCGAGTCCATGCGAGCGCAGCATGTGGCCTTCTGAGCATGATGGATTTGCAATGATCTCTGCAGGGAACCTTGGGCCACCGCTCCTAGCCGTGGTATGCCCTGGTGCAAAACAGATGCTTCGCTCAGGTTGACTACCGGACCAAGTTTCGCCAAACGGACATCATGACACTCCAGGAGAGCAGAATGCACGCACTGGCATGCGCAAACGACATCATCAAGCATGATCTGACATGCAGCTTGAAACCAAGCCAGGCATTCATGATACTCCTGCACATGCATGGAAGCGAGGCCGGGTGAGCGGACCGCGCGCATGCCGTGTCGGCGCACATGCCGCCGTAGGGCAACGGTCGAATGTGTTCGTGACTATATTGGCGACAACTCATAGTTCGCATGTTGGCCACAAGAGCTGAAGGGGCCCCCAGAAAGAACCGAGATGTCCGCAGAGAGCGCAGTCTAAAGACTAAAGACTAAAGACTAAAGATCTGCAAGTCATGTCTTCAGGACACGGCTTGCGAGCCCCTGAGCTGCCTCTGGACTGGCCAACCTTGCGAGCAGTCAAATGCCGCAAATGGCGGCATGAGAGTTTAAGGGAACACATATGGGCTGCCGTGCGGCTTCGACAGCAAAGCTAGATACCGGGCATGAGGCATGTAACACCAAACCCTAAACCCTAAACCCTAAACGCTAAACCCTAAACGCTAAACCCTAAACCCTAAACCCTAAACCCTAAACCCTAAACCCTAAACCCTAAACCCTAAACCCTAAACCCTAAACCCTAAACCCTAAACCCCAAACCCTAAACCCTAAATCCTAAATCCTAAATCCTAAAGAGCAGAGCAAGAGTTTCCGCCAGGACCGCTGTGTTCAGTGACGATGCCCCCAGCGCCTCCAAGCCGGAGGCGCGTCGTCGCTGCATCTTGAGGGCTTGGACTCCTAAACCCTAAACCCTAAACCCTAAACCCTAAACCCTAAACCCTAAACCCTAAACCCTAAACCCTAAACCCTAAACCCTAAACCCTAAACCCTAAACCCTAAACCCTAAACCCTAAACCCTAGAGAAATCCGTGGCCAACTCACCAGTCTGTGGCTTGCCTCCTCTCCAACTCCTCCACTGCACCAGGCATCTGTGTGGACTTCATGGAGAAGGCTACTATGGCAAGTGTTGAAAAGCCACAGGAAGATCTGTGAGGATGCTCCTCCTCAAAGTGTTTAGGGTTTAGGGTTTAGGGTTTACGGTTCTTGAGGTTCTCCTGTGCTGAAGTACTGATTTCACTCAGAACTTCAGAGCTATACCGTGCTATGATACACTATGATAGTAAAATGCTGAGCTTGCAGGGGCTTGCTTGCTGGTAGCAGAGTGCTGAGCTTGCAAAGGCTGGTACTACTCTACCCGTACTTTGGTCGGAATACTTCAGTAGTAGTTGGACTGCAATAGCACTATAGAACACGATCGGATCCTACCGGTGTACAAGAGCAAAGCAACTTACCATACTTGCTGCAGTACACGACTGCAGTTGCCATGCTACACGGAAGCTTGTTTGCTAGGGGCCTCGAGCAAGTGCTGCGCTTGCAACGCTGAAAAGGTATCTTCACGCCGTTTTGATTAAAGTTATACACAGCGGCCCAACAGCCCCGAGTTCCGGCAAGAGACGGGCAATCCGACAAGTCGTCTAATAGATTGCCCCTTTTTGTGCAAGGCAGTGGGTTGAGAACGCTGTCAGCGAACAGACCAGGCTGTTCTCGGGATTGCTCTATTCTTGTGCTTTGGGCTGGATGCTTGACGTCTTTCCGGAGTGCTGAGAGACTCGACGCAGCCAAGCCGGATATTCCGGTGGAGTGCCAGTGCCTCGGCAGGACTCGATTCCGCTTGTTCTGGCTGATTCTTTGCCAAGTGCTGAACGAGATGTTTCCCATCGAGGCGGAGACATGTAACTGTATGTCTTGCATCTTTGAGAACTAGATTTTACACACATGTGTGACCAAAAACCATCATTCTCAGCATGTGAAAAACCGCTTGTTCTTGAGATTATATCTCCTGTGTGTACTTCGCCTCAGGTGGCGGCGTGCCGCCGCGACTGGGAGCCGAGGCTGGGGAGCACATCCCCCTCTCAGCTGTTTAGGGTTTAAGTTTAGGGTTTAGGGTTTAGGGTTTAGGGTTTAGGGTTTAGGGTTTAGGGTTTAGGGTTTAGGGTTTAGGGTTTAGGGTTTAGGGTTTTCGTGCTCTCCCACCATATGGCTCAAAGCTGCTCTCACCAAACGCGCGTGTTAAGGTACTCCTATCGCTGCCCCGTGATCTTGCAGCGGTTTCTGATTCAGGCCTCTCGGGCTCATGCTGCTGAGGTAACTTGGTGAATGGCTTGCCAGAGTATTTGTGAGGTCCTTGCTACGGGGCCCTTGTCGCTCTCCGAACTCGCCAACATGGTGCCAAAGGAGTCGCCGAGATGCCTCAGCAGAGTGCCGATCATAAACAAACACAAAAGCAAACTTGATGAAATTTGTAGCCGATGCAAAACCTACAGGAGCTCCAGGTGCGGGAGGGTCAACTGGCAGAGGCCCTGGAGGCCGTGGCCACGTGCAGTTCCAAGACGAAGGGGTCTTCAACTCTGAAAGCGGTCGGGTCTAGAGTCTAGATGTCCGGGGCCTCCTCCGAAACGTAGATTCGAAAGTTTCGGGGGAGCTTGATCGTAGGATTCTCTTAAATCAAGGACCCCAATCAGGTACCCCGAATTTCGGAAACCCCCCTTTGAAAATTGCCGTTGAGCTTGGGTCCGAGGCGCCAAGATGCCCGCTACGTGCTCAAGCAGAGGAGCTGGCAACACTTCGACATCTGCATGGCGCTGCCGGCTCTTTGAACCTCAGCCCTCAGAAGGGTTTTAGGGTTTTAGGGTTTATAGGGTGTATAGGGTTTAGGGTTTAGGGTTTCGGGATTGCACTTTTGGTGCAAACTAGAAGGCCTCAGGTGCTTCATACAGTTGAGGTGGTTAAGACGTGCTGGAGTAGAAAGCGCCAGGCAGAAGCCATGCCAATCCGGAGCTGGCGGGACGGTACCTGGCGCGCTGGGCACCTCAGCACCCTCCAGCAAGAGGGGATAGGAAAAAAGGGGAAACAGGGGGGACAGGTTTAGGGTTTAGGGTTTAGGGATTAGGGAATTCTCTGCATGAGCTCCAATCCCTTGACTGCTCCTAGGCCAGGCACTGTGGAAGCTCCGATGTAAACAGCAACCAATTCAGCCCAGCGTTCTTCCGCCCAGGAGAGGCAACATCGCGCCGAGGAGAAGGCCTTGGCACAAGAGGCGCCATCGGAGCCAAGGATTCTCGAACCAGACTACGGTACTGCAACATGTGATAGCTTGAAGAGGGTTTGTTAGGCAGCCGCAAGTCTGGCTTCAGGGAAAAGATTGAGGTTGTGAACCATGGGCATGGGCATGGGCATGGGGTGGTTATTTTCATTTCACTCGGTCTCCCTCCCGCACTCCTGTCTCCTCTCTCGTCACATCTCTCCTGCTCCTAGTGTGCGTGTTTGTCGACATGTCGCTGTCTCGGCTGATGCTCGGAACGGCTCACAGCTGACTGTTACCATGAATGCCGGCACGGGCTGGAGCAAGAGAGTTTTGTTGAGCAGATCCTCCTGCAGACATCGAGCAGCAATCCAGTTTGCCACCGTCGCTCTAAAGACGTAGTTTGAGCAGCTGAGCCAGATGCGGTTGTGCGACACCCAGAGCCAGAAGGAAATGTGCTTTCATTTGCACCTGAGGCTTCTCATGGTGCTTCCTTTCGGTTGAAGCAGCAGCAAGAAATCGTGCCAAGCACGCCGTGCTTTGTGGATTGTTGATATGTAAAAATGATCCGTCGCAATTTTCTCAGCTTGAGCTTGCTTCGTCTAGCACCCGAACCCTACGAATCATTGTGCAACACCGCAGGCAACCACCAGAGTGAACTGCATAGTCGACGCAGCCCACACGTTACAGAGCTGCCCTAGACAGTATTTCATGGCACAGGGCCCATCGGTGATTTGCCGTTTGCCCATTGCGACAACCGCTGTCAGAAAAAAATCGGAACCAGCGCAACAACCTCCTTGACCATGACTGCTGCACGTAGTACAAGAGTTGCCATTAGTGTCAGTCCGCATCCAGTCTAGACCTATGGTGCACCCATGACACTTTCCCCTCTTGGCAGTAGCAGAGCCATGTCCTCGCGTGCGGCGCGGGCTGTGCTGCTGCATCTTGGATGCAGCAGAGCCTAAGTCTTGAGGCTCTGTGGATTATGCGATGGTCATGAAGTCTCTTGCAATACCGCGACGCTGTGCTATGCATGAAGACTGCCTGCTTGCCAGCAGCAGATGTCTGCTAGATACTCATCGTGCAACTCGTTCCAGATCAATGGGTTCGCATGCCTCGTGCATGGTTTGGAGTTGGCACGGCCCAGTGCATGTACATGTCTTCGGACATCTAGGGGATTTCCAACGAGAGGTGTAAGTTCCAGCACGGCACATATGCACCGACTGGGAGATGAGTGCCCCAGCTCTAACAAACCCAATCCAAAGCTAAGCCTCTTCTTGAATGAGTACTTAGAGCTCGCAGCCGCCTCGAAATGCTGCGAAACAAAATGCAACGGAAAAGGTTTTATACACAAGAACGCACCCACCCCAAAACCTGGTACCGGTGCCCAACTTGCAAACCGCACAGAATCAGCAGCTTCGTTGTTTCCATGACGGTCGTGGTGTGATGCTGCTGTCGCAGATGCACTGTCAAGAGCTTTTGTCGCTTTCAACTGGCTTGTTTGTCAACGAGCAGGGATGAAAAAAGGTAGCGAAAATCACTTACACTTTTGCCTCTTCAAGGGGGCACATCCGATGCTCAGGCTTTCCGCCTTGAGCCCTGCCAGCAGCGTAACCTGCCCGAAGCCCGGCCACTTCCACTCCTGCCAGTCGGAGCGCTGCCCGTGTTGTTAGTTGCATCTTGTTTCCGCGATTTCCTCTGCGAGCATGAAGAAGTCTCGGGTGTGATAACTTGTGTACAGCCCAGAGCAACAGTTGAGTGGCTCCATTCTAAAGTGCCTTCTGCTGGCAGCCAGCCCTGTTTGTTTAGTTCCGGTCGGTTCTCCGGGGCTTGGGCTGCCGCGAGGACGTGGAGCTTGGCGCGGGCATCGCGGCCACACTGGCGCCCAAGCCTGCGGCGAGCTGCTCCGCACACGGCTTCTGCGCAGAGGAGTGGGGCGATGCTTTGATGTTGGGAGTGATCCAGGGGGCAACTCGAGGTGAGTGAGGCTTCTGTCGGCATATCTCTGTGGCATCTGCAATGTCACTTGATCTTGCCCAAGATTCTCCAAGAATTCCTGAAGGCTGGGCTGACCGATGGAGACTGCTGCTTCTCAAATTGCAAAGAGGGCACTGTGTCCAGTCAGGGAGTGGGATGGGATTATTATTTGAGTTTTTTGGCTTTCATGGCCTTTTCAACAATTGCACAACTTGAGGTTCTCCTTGTGACATCTTGTGACGTCTTGTGACTGCCGGCTGCTGGAGTAGGATATAGGGGGTGACAAAATTGTGAGAAAGAATTCGGGCCATCAATGACCACCGAGGCCCAACGGCTGGGACCGGCATCTATCTTTCATGCTGCGATGGTGCCGATAGTCGAAGGCTTGCGCCTCTTCAAATGGACAAGAAAGGGGTGACGCCGCTTGCTTGCACAGCCGGCTTCATGTCATATGCGGTGAGGCCTGTGAGCCCAACTCCTCAGCCGCCTTAGCCTTGACGCTGATACCAAAGAATCAAAGGCTGGACGACACCACGCTGCAATGGTGCCTCGGTTTTCGCCATCCCCAGCCCCCCCAGTTGGTATCTGTGGTTTCAAGACAGCGCTCCCTGATACTCTGAGACATTCTGAGACTGAACAGTGATTTTGTCGCAACGAGCAAGACCGGCAAGCCGTCCGTGAGGTTTTGTGAGAAGTCTCGGGCTTTGCAGGTGTGCCGGCCGCATCCCGGAGATCTGGCCCAACCTGCAGGAACTGACTTCTCAAGGCTTTGAAGGCTTTCAGCGTCTTGAGGTCACACGAGACAAATTTCGAGAGCTTCCCGGCTCAGGAGTACGTGTACAGAGCTGAGCACCACTGGTCCATCCCTTGCATTGACCTGGCAGGATGCCCCGATGACTTCGCTCAGAATCTTCCAGACGTGGACGACGAACTGGCCAGCTGAAGGCAGAGACGTCTTGTGTGTCATCGTGGCCCACGCCGCTGAATGTAGCCTACTATGTGCAAACCCTTGTAAACCCATATGTTGCATGTATGTGGGAGACTGGGAGACAGTATCGGTGTGAGGCCGGCACGCGGCCTGGAAAGATCTCGTTGAGTATGTGTCGCTTGGAAGAACTGGGTGCCGGATAGCACAGGACAGATTTAGGCTGTTGCTGGCTTGCCGCTCCTTGCTTCTCTGCCAGGGGTAATGAGGGATGCAAGTGGTGCTTGCTTGTGCGTGTACGCGCCGAGGAAATCCAGTGGCCAAGTTCTTAGTCCCAGCCACTGCATGCTGCTCATGCATCACCTCCTGTTCTCTCAAGTCAACTGCCAGACCGCCACGTAGAGGAGAATTTCCTGAGCTGGGGAGTGCCAGGTTTGTTTTCCCTAAACCCTAAACCCTAAACCCTAAACCCTAAACCCTAAACCCTAAACCCTATACCCTAAAGCTGTAAGAGCGTCCTTGGTCTGGGGGCCTTGACTTGGCGGCGAAGCTTTTGCAGCGTAGCTACGTATCGCTGCCTCGATCAACCGACGAGTTGCTCAGCGCCCGCGCTTGGGTTTTGATGAGCTTCAGTGTCGAGCGGTTTAGGAGGGTTTAGGGTTTAGGGTTTAGGGTTTAGGGTTTAGGGTCTAGGGTCTAGGGTTTAGGGTTTACGGTTTAGGGTTTAGGCACACCTTTCAGACACCAGGGGCTGATGCCCAACGGGAAGCTTGGTGACACCTCGCTGGATCCCACCGGCTCGTCTGGGCACTGGAAAGTCTCGTGTCTCCAGCTTGCCGTACAAGTAGCGGCCGTAAGCAAGCAGTTCAAGGACTGTCCTTTTCAAAGTGCCTTAGGTTTTTTTTTTTCGGAAAACATGGGCACACCCTTATTTGTCCGTAAACATGGCGTGCTTTGCCCACGCGACTTTTGAGTTTCAGGCTTCTCAGCTCGGAAATCATGCGCCGGGGCTGAACAAAGCAGCGATTTACAAGACAACGATACGCCGCATGACCAAAATCTCGCCGCCATGTCAAAGCGTCAGGTCAAGGACCCGCACACAGCGTAAAGTGCTCTTGCATCGTCCAGGTTAATTACTTAAAAATATCTCAGCTGGTTTCGTTGTCAGAACTTCTTCTCTTTGTGAGTATGTTTCCGTGCCTGTTCTTGGACTCCGTGGCAAGCATGGGTTTCCACGGACTCTACATCCACTGAGGAATAGCCAGACCGCCTCAGCTGTCCGTATTGTGTCGTTATCGCTTGCCGAGGTGTCAAGCTTCTTGTTGGGACGCCGGTGACCTGCATTGCCGGGGATGACGACCTGACATGGAGCCGCTTCGAGAGAATACCGGACTTTGCAGGATTGCGCCACATATGGTGGAACCAGTGTAGCGTGATGCCAGCTACGCTTTGCTTCGTCCGCAACATGTGTTGGCTTAGATATTCATATCTTTCCAACTTTTCCTGAGAGGTTGAACAGAGGGTCTTGAAATCTGGAGCAGAACTGAAATGCTTCAGGTATTTTCGACTGGTTGTAGACCTTTGCCTTTTATGGTGGGGAGAGTGGACAGCAGTGTGAGTCCATGGTCGTTGAATGGGGAGAATGCAACACCCTAACGAGTTGTCGCTGTTGCTTGACACATCCTGCAACTGCATTTCTACGCTCTTTTCGACATCTGCTTCATTGCCAGGTTGGACCAAGGAGTTCTTGAACATGATTGGCCGCGAGCATGCCCTTTGGACAGAAGATCCCTGGTCCAGACCAGCGCAGCAAGAATGGAAGAGCAGCAGAAGAGTTGCAGGCGAATTGCAGAATGTTCGGGACCCTTAGCCACCACTAGCCGGGCCAACGCATGTAGCCACGCGTTTAGGCTGCATGGTGCGTGTCCCAAGCTTCGACATCACAACCAGCGATTGGACAAGTTAGGTTAAGATTTGCAATGCGCTTCGGACACACAGACACACAGACACACAGACACACAGCCACACAGACACACAGACACACAGGCACCCAGAGTCCCACACTCAGTCCGACGCGCACACACATAGACAGACGTGCCTGTTTCAGGGGCAA